CCCTTGACTCACTAAAAGGCACCAAAGTTATGGCCTAAGCCAAGGAACCTCACTCTCTTTCACAGCTCATATTCAGTCAGTGAGTGCTATGCATTTCATATCCCTCTCTGATCCCTTTCTACTTTCTCTAAACCCCTGCCACCTCTCAGGGACCAAGGAAACTTCCCATCTTGCTAGGTTGCAGGAGTAGCCTTTCTCTCTCTTGTGATCACCCAGGCTGATCTTGCCTGAGATTCCACTCTGCTCCCGTCCTCCCTCCTTACATCAATCCTGGTACCTCTATAGTATGCAGCTCAGGTTCTTACCATGGCCTGGAAGACCTCTGCAATCTGGCCTCCTGGCTCCTTCCCATCAGGACCATTAAGAATTCTGGCCATTGCTAACTTCTTTCACTTCCCCTGACCTCATGTTCTCTCTCACTTCAAGCCCAGGCACAAGGGGTGCCTCTTTAAGTGGCTTTTCACTCCTCTTGGGTCTTCAAAGAGGCTGTCCCAGTCCACCAAGAAGCCATCTCCAACCCGCCAGTTGGGGGTTTAGCTCCTCCTTTGTGCTGGGACATCCCTTTCTACTTCTGCCTTGCTTCCAAGTACCACACTCCAGCTTTACCCAACTGGCCCATCAACCCTAGGAAGGCAGGGCTGTAGCATTTGGCACAGAGCCTTGGGCATCCTAGGCCTGATAAATCTCTGTTGTATTCAGTTATAGAATATAAATTTGAATATAAGCCACGTTATTTACTTTGGGTATGATCCAGTCTGAAATAATCCTGTGAGTTGTGCAGGGTTATCTTAATGGATGAGCGAAGAACCCAGGTTTCACTAGTTTTCTACTTCACAATGTCTCTCTGTTGAAGGCTTTCTTAAAAATAAAAGAACCTCACAGGGCTCTGCTGTACTCCTGGGACTTACAGAGGACAAGGCCCTTTCTTCAGCGAGGCCGACCTAAACAGAGCCAGCCCTCCTTCGCCTCCTCAGCCACAGCTGTGTGCTGGAAGGCTGGATGGCTGAGGCCCCTAATAAAGAGCAGACCTCCCAATCTTCTTCCCTCCCCCACCCCTCACATGGTGTTTCAAATTAAGAGCAAGTAAAAAAATCTAAGGCCTAAAGACGAGAGGGGATAGAGGAGGAAGCTGTGCTCTCTTCCGAGGAAAAGGGCACCAAAAAGCTAGATCCAGGGGGTTCAGTCCTGCCACATCTGTCCCAGGCTCAGCATTGTGAGGCCCACCCGGGCTGGGCTGGAATGCAAGGCAAGCTCTGGTCCTCTGTTAGGGCCATAAACAGGCCGAGGGGTTAGGAACTCTATAGAGAGAGGGTGCCGGGTCACCATCGCTGGGAGTAGCTTTCTTCTGCTCTCTGGAAAGAACCCCAGGAAACCCCGGAGACTCGCTGCTCCTTTCGATCCAGCCAGCAACCACCAAGAAGAGGAGGTGGGCGAGGATTCCTGGAGAAAGGGTAACAGTCACCCCAGATTACACAGGCCCGCTGGACCGTTTGGAGAACTCCTTTTCCTACTCCTCCAAGACTCGGGCTGCTCTTCCGAGTGAGCAAGCGAGCCACTGACCCAGGGCTGGGGCCGAGCCCTCCACGGTCTCCACGCGGGGACCGCACATCCGCGCGCGGCGTCGGAGCCTCCTCCAGCCCTCGCCGCCGGGGCCCCTGCGCTGGGCCCGGGGAGGCAGCTCCTCCAGAGCCAGGAGTTAAGAGGGACAGAGAAGGCCGAGAGAAGGCGCAGTCAGTGCTGATTTCCTTTTGCCAACCACCAAAAGGTCCTTCATTTTCAAGCCGAGAAGCCAGAAACAACCCCTTCTCCGCCCCGCCCCGCCCACCACCTTCATTTAAAAGAAATTCACAAGTTTGTTACAATGTGATTTTCACAACTGACGGCTTTGATAGCTGTTACATCCTTAAGTCTTCAGCAAAAGGACCTCAGAGTTCCCCAGGAAAGTAGCTTTGGGGGTGGGGTGGAGCTGGGGAGAGGAGGAAAAGACACAAAAACATCGCAGCGGGAAACGCCCACGAAAGCCCGAGGTGTGGCGCGGCCTTAACCCCTTTGGGGACCGTCACAGCCCGAGATGCAGGACAGGGCGGGATTTCGTTTCTCTCAGTGACCATTTTGATGTGGTCGTAAAAAATGTACTGGACCTTCTCTTTGAAGGTTAGCTCATCTACTGCATGTCTTTACACTCTTGCACATAATTTTTTGTCGCCCGCGGGCCTTGAGGCGCAAGGCCAAGGCCAGGACCGCCGCCCTCCCTTGTCCCTTTCCGCAAACTTTACGGCCCTGCTCAGGTCGGGAGTTGGACCTGCTTCCCCTTCCGTTGCAGCCCACTGGACTCCAGTTTGGAGAGAATCTTAAACCCCAAGTGGAAAGAAACAACAAAAAAACCCCAGGAGGTTGAAATCCAGGAGCGGGTTGGGTCCTTTGCACTGTGGCCCAGGCGGGCGTAGGCCCCTCTTTCAGGATCACAGGGCGGTCCCCGCACGGCGCCCCAGGCAGGAGCCCAGAAAAGGGAGAAAGGACCCCGGAGGCCTCCCCGGCCAGCAGCTCTTCTTGCCCGCAGCGACTCCGAGACCACCCAGGACCCCGGGCGTCGAGGGAGCAATCTGAAAGGATCATAGAACAACCAGGGAAGAGCTCGAGTCGCCCCCTCCCCTGATGTCCAGGGCTGAGTGACGGGTGCAGACCCGACCTCTCCCCAGGCCCCGGACAGTGGAGGGCAGACAGCTGGATTCAAACCCGCCTATGAGCAGTGGGAGGGGCGGGGGCTGCGGGGGCTGCGGGGGCTGGACTGGGTTTAAGAAACCAACCGCCTGGGTTCCAGGGCCTCCTGCCCGGAGCTTGCTCCTGACCACTGCGTTTATTTTGCTTTTGCAGGGGAGGCAGATGTTGACCTGTCTTCATCTTTGCTCTGTCCAGACTCTGCGAAATCTTCCCCCAACCATTTGCTACCCTGAGCCGCCCTCCCCCAACAGGGGCGCTATCCCCAGACTCAACTCCCCAGGCCTTTAAACCTAGGAAAATGTCACACATGGAAACCTTTAGCAAATGTTTGTTAATGATCATAACAAAGGCATCATTCAAATTAGGCAGGTAATTACTACCAGAAGGACAACTGGGTGCTCTCTGGCTCATCGATTGCTCTCTGCTTTAAACTCCTGAGGACCCCCGCGCCGCCCGCTCCTCGGGCCCCTTTAAACCGCTCTGAAATGAACTGTGAAGTTACCATTTGTGGGCGGGGAACGCTGGGGCCCTGCGTGCGAAAGACCTCGGCGGTGTGACCGAGCTGGTCGTGTCGTGCAGTGGGCCCTCCTGGCAAGGCTCCCTGCCTCGTCTCTTGGTTAACTGGTAGAAAAACTCTTAACTCAACTTTAATACCGGCATGAAAGCCAGCACCCGATTTGCCTTTTATTCCCCTCTCTTTTTTGGGGGGTGGGGTGTGTGTGGGGGGTCATTAGTCGCCGTTCATTATCTACAAACATTACGGTATCCTGTTAGCATTCCGAACAAGGGGCTGTTCATATATTTGCCTTCAATGATTTCCTGCAGGAACATGTGGAAGTAATAGCGAGCGCCACAGTCACCGAGTTGAAGATGCACGAGAGGAGAGTGCGCAGAAGGGCTGGGGGACAGGTCCCTTAGCCCAGCCCCAGGAGCCCTTTCCATGAGCCTGACACCCCAACGATCCGGTCCATTTACGCACAGCACCGCGCTGTTTGGAGTGCTTCTCTGTGACTCTTCCCCCGCCTGCTTTGTGTCCATCCTCCTGACGAGGGAGGTATTGGGTCTCCGACGTGCCAGTCTCAGTCTGGTCACCCTGCCCATTTTGAGTGGGGTCGTGTGAGGGATAGTGGGCTACGGGAGGAGAGCAGAAGATTAACCCCCTATCCGAAACAATTCAAGATGAGAGAGAGTAAGGACTACGAACGCGCTCCCCTCCCCCGCTCTCCCTGGGAAGCCCCACTTCGCTCAGGTCTGGTTCCTGGAGCTTCAGCGCCCCCTTTCCCTCGTGAGCAGGATCGTTTTTATCCCCAAACCGTGTCTAGGGCACAGGGTTTGCGGCACTTCTCTGAACTCCAGGACTTTCAGAGGGTTGGACTCACTCAGCCCCACCGAACTCAAGGAGAATCAAAAGGAACCCCTCTCCCTGAGATGCCGAGGTGGCGAGCTTGCTGTAGACACTTAAACCCGCGAGCCTGAGCTTTTCTGTATGCGAGATAGAAGCTAGGGCAACCTCTCCCAGATAACCCCGAAAACAAAGGCACGACAAGATAAGTGGTTCTGAGGGAGTAAAGGTCGTTCTCGAGAGAACGTTCCAAACGCACGCAGACCCTGGATCACTTGCGTCTCCGTCCAGTCTTTCAAAAACCCATCATCTTCATATTGAACTCAATGGTTTCCTAATCCCATTAAAGGATTAACACGGGCACTTTCCCTACAAGACCCCTCAGTTCAAAACCATGCAACCGCTCGGAGATTCCTCCCCAAGGCCATAGCTCTACTTGGGTCAGGAGTTTCTAAGGAAAAGACATTTTTCGATTCCAGATTTATTTTTTCCGTGGGCACTAAAAGCAATTTTACGTGTCCTTTTTTTTCTTTCTTTCTTCTTTTCAAAGAGAATACAAAACTATAGGAGCGCAGAAAAATATCACCCAAATTGGGAGGCAAATTCATTCTGGAAATGACGGAGCTGTTTGTAGTTTCACGAAACCTTTTTCCCGGCAGAGCGTCAACACCTCCCCCTTTAGCCACCCCCACCCCATCTGGTCTGCTTCTCCCCGCCCCCCAGTTGTTGTCGAAGTCTGGGGGTTGGGACTGGACCCCCTGATTGCGTAAGAGCAAAACGCGAAGGCGAAGTCTGGAGACTGGAAGATTCTGAGCGCTGGAATTTCGAGGGAAACTTTTATTTTGAAGAGGCCAAGGGGGGGGGGGCTTCATTTCCTGACAGCTATTTACTTAGAGCAAATGATCAGTTTTAGAAGGATGGACTGTAACATTGAATCAATTACAAAACGCGGTTTTTGAGACCAGTACAGTTGGAGCTAGGGAGAGAGGGGGAGAAATAGAGACGGGAACTTCAGGAGAGGCTTGGAGGCCTTGGACGTACTTTTTACTCCATGTATAGGATTTTCATTGTGGATTGACATTGGAGGAGAAGGTAAGGAAGAGGAAAAAATGATTTTTGTTTCTAAGGGGTCTTTGATCAGGTCCTGGACTGGAAGACGCGAAAAAACTTCAAACTTTGAGCGATGAGGAAAAAAATGGAATTGAGTTCCAGTTGTGTGTCCAGAAGTGTAATTTATTCTGAACAAACTTCTGGTCGGGGGCACAGAGGAGGGGGGGTAACCATAGAGTTAGAAAGTCTGGCGATTAAAAAAAACACTTTTCCAGACCTATTTTTAAAAGCAGTGTTTTTCTAACAACCCTATGGCCTCCCAAAGAAATTGTTTAGGCTGACATTTTTGAGGTCTCTTTCGGGGGTGGGGTGGTATTCGTGGATACTGGGACGAACACCAAGTACCGCTGGGGGGTGGAGGCAGAGGTGTTTGCCCTTCTTCTTGGCAGTGGGCTCGGGAAGGCGACAGGTTTTTAATGAGTATTTTCATTCCTTGCCCGCGGTTTGGCGGGACAGCGCTGCAGCCTGTGGTGTGGAGCACGGCTGTGGGATCGGGGGAGGTGGGGAGAGAAAGGGCGCCGAGTGGGGCAAGGGAAGGGGTTTGAGGGCGGGGGAGGTGTGAAGGGCTCGGCTGGAGGAGGTCGGATCTGAGGTGCCAGCCGGGTGCACATGGCGCCAGCCGAGCGCGCGTAATTACTGGACGGCGCTGCTCCTGGTGCGAACCGGGGCCAGACTGCCCGGCGGTGGTGGCTGTAGGGCCAGCAGAGGAGCGCGGGGCTTGGGTGAGGATTTGAGAGCTCTGGAGAGGTTTGCCAGGTCCGTTAGGTGCGAGGAACTGCGGGTGCCCGCCCCACAGTGCGCTCGGATTGCGCGCCTCTCACGGGGGCGACGGCTGCGGCGCGGGCGAGCGATCTGGAGTAATGACAAACACATTTGGCCCCGAGTGAAGAAGTCGTTGTTGCCTCGCATTCCAGCAGCTGGGATTTGAGGAATTCCGAGCAGCAATACGAGGGGCCCTCATTGTGCGCGGTGGTCCCCACCCCCATCCTGCGCTCACCGCCTTCCTCAGTGGAATCTTTTCTGCAGCGCCCGGGGCCGGGTTGCTGCTCAGTCCCACCCACAGCAGGAAAAAGGCAAGGTCTCCTGAGAAGTGAAGTTAGGGACAACTCTAAGCGGACGAACGTGGTTGCAGGTAAGACAGAAAGGTGAGAGGCAAACCGTCCTCACCCCTTCCTCCTAGCACCGGAGCCCTGGATCCTCTTTTTTCCCTGGCGCTCCTTTCCCGCACCGAGGTGCGTGGCACTGACCGCATACGCTCACCAGGGCGCTGCTTCATCAACTCCAGTGGTTCCTTTTTCTCTGTTGCTCTCCAAGCGCCGGCGTCTGTATTCTTTCCTCCACGGTCTGTCCCCATGGAATTCTGTCCCTACACGTGAAATGAACTCCTCCCGGCAGCGCCTGGGGAGCGGGCGGCGTCCACTTGGCTTTGGAACGACTGGGATCAGTGGTTCTGTTTGGAAAGGGTGTCGGCCAGCTCCCTGCAAAAATGAGTGTGGTCCGACCCGAGTAAGCTGCCCGATGGAGCCAGGGCCGTCCGGCCAGGTGTGCGGGAGCTGCCAGGAACTTGGCGTCACGCCTTGGCCAGAAAGGAAGTTTTGGGTTGTTTATGTGCTGTCGGTCTCTCCCGCAGCCAGAGCGCTGCCTGTCCCGCATTACGATCCCTCAGCCCCGCTGAGACCTTAGGACGTGCGGGAAAGTGCCTGGAAGAACTTGCCACTCGGTTCATCTCCGAGGATGGGAGGAAACCGAGGCTGGGGAGGGACCCCTATCGTGTCCGGGCCTCCCCGCGCCCGGCCGAGCTGCCTGGAAAAGCCCCGGACTGGGCGGTGTGGGAAATGGCTTTTTGGCTCCGTGGCCGAAATTGCTCAATGTTTTGGACTGACTTGTCTAGCTTCGGTTGCTTCGGATCAGAACCAGGGAGCTTTTTTTGGAGCAGGAAGAGGCATCTAGAGAAAACGGGGCACGACAGTCCTCGGCAGCACATCTCACCGGACGAACACCCCAAAACCCGGAGGCCCTGGGCCAGAGGAGGGAAGGAAGGGGCGCCCTTGGTAGTGAGCACCTATCCGCAGCCGCGCTGACAGGGGCTTTTACATAACCCCTCTCCCTATTCGACCAACCGGGACCCTGGTGTGGCATCCCCTCCCCCTCCTCAGCCTCCTCCTTTCCACAGCTCTTTTGATGAGGGGGACTTCTTTTACAACCCAGCAGGCAGGGGCCTGTCCGGTCCTGCTTTGACACCCCGGTCCCTCCCTGCTTTAGAGCTCTTGCACAGTCCTGCTTTGGGGTTGACTCGCGTGCAGTTGGACCTAGTCCCCGGGAGTGATGGGCGCGAGAACTCGTCGCTCGCCCCCGACGTCCCGGCGGCTTTTGCTCCCAGTCCTTAGATCGGCAGGGACGTGAAGCAGAAGAGCCTGGGGTCCCGGCTCGCGGCCCGGAGGCTGCTTTCTTCCCGGGGCGCGTGCTGGGGAGGGATGCAGGGGGAGGGGCATCGGGCTGGGCTTTCCAGCTGCAAACGCGTCTGGCGCCGAGGCGGGCCAGTTTTCTGCCTCCTGGGGACAGGCAGTGGGCGGCGCGCGTCCTGGGGACGTGGTGGCCAGCGCCTGCCTGCAGACCTCGGTGGGTGGGACTCCCTCTGGACTTCGGGGAGTTGCGTCCAGTTTACACGTTGCTAATGGAAAAGTGGTGATTCTGGAGAAGGAGCTAAAAGCTGGATAGGTGACTGAAAGGTGCGGCTCTCTGCGTCCCTCACGTCCGGCACTCGGGGTCTGCCCGCAACATCAGCCTTGGGGAGGAGGGGCGGAGGGGATTTTGTAGGGTCGCTCTCAACGCGGGATGCAGGGTCGGCGCAAATTGCTTTTCCCGACTGCACTCTAGTCCGGGGCTCTGTCGGTGCTTGTCTTTTGCTGAAGTGGCTTGGCGGCATTTTCTTTTGTTTTAAACCAAAGGCGAACCAGGAATGGGTTGGAAAGTAGATAGTAGGAGGGAATAGAAGAAAGCCTCGGACTTGGGGCGCCACCTTCCCTGCCTCCTACTACACTTCTCTCTCCCTCCCTCCCTCCCCCGCAAAAGAGGATGAAGGGCGCGGGCGGGCGCGGGGCCAGCGCGGCAAAGGCTAGCGTCGAGCAAGGTAGGCACTGAAGGAGACGGAATTTTTGAAAGGTGAGGGGCGCAGGCTGGGTTTGCCCCAGCCTTCCGGGCTGGCATGGGGCTGGGCTAGCGGCGGTGGGCGGCGGTGCGGCTCTCGCGCCCATAGGAGGCGCTGGCGCGCGCCTGGAACCCTAACCCGCCCCCTCCTCCCCACCCAACCCCTCTCCCTCCACTCCGCCCATCCCGTCGCAGGTCTCAGTTGAAAACAATGCAAACACCGAGTTTGGATCTTGGGGAACGGCAGCCTCTGCAGCTCTGAGCTCCGGAGCGCTGGGGCAGGGGCGTGGGATCCCAGAGCTGGTCCGCATCACCCCCATCTCGGGGTGATCGAGCTTGCTGGAGGGCGTGGAGGAGGCGGGACGGGGAGCGGCCCACGCCGTGTCCGTGTGGGTGTGGCGGGGTCAGGAGCGCAAAGGTGCTAGCGCGGGACCTCCGGGAGAAGGTTTGCGGGCTGCGATCCCCGCAGCGGTGTCGGGGACCCGGAGCCTGAGCTGCGGGCAGCGGCGGAGCCAGCCGGGTAAGATCCGCGGAGCTGCCGCGCCCTCTAGCGAGCTCCCTGCGCGCGCCCCGCATCCCGCCAGTCCCGGGCAGGCGGCGTCGACGTTGTAGAGCGCAGCCCAGGGGCCCCAGAATTTGGACTCACCCCGGTCACATTTGCGACTCCTGGGAACCTCGAATAGGCGTCCTGCAGGCACTGTAGGGGCCCGGGGGACGCTGGGTGGGCGAGCCCGGATTTAGGTTGAAGAGTTGGGGCGTCATTAAAACTTAGGTTTTTTTGAGTTGGGGAGAGGGGGACAGGAGAAAGGTGGAGGATTCCCGGCCCCGCAAGCTCTTGGAGGACAGTGACCGCCGTGTGCACTCCAGCTCCGCACAACGTCCCCTGTCGCGCCGGCTGCCTGTTGCTGTTTGTTTGTTTTGCGAGCCTGCGTTATTGTGCAAGGGGAAACAGTCGTTTCCAATCAGCCGGGCTGCGGGGTCCCTGCCGGGCGGGTTTATAAGGGGTGACAATGGCATGCGAACAGATTGGGCAGCGCGGCCTGGGAACGGCGTGGCGGCCCCCTCTCCGCGCTGCAGAGGTGGTCTCCCGGCCTGGAGGCGCGCAAGCGCCCAGGGCGAGAGCGTGGGCTCTCCAAAATCTTAGTGGCGGGTCCTGCTGAAACTTTGGGGGCCTCGCGGGGCGACATCGTCTTCCGGAATGCCTCGCAAGCGTTGTCCTGGTGGATCGTGATGAAGGTGATGGTTATGGTGCCTGTCCTGGGCTGAATTCTCTTGGGGGCCCCAAAAAGATTTAGGCATTTTAGACAGCAGTTTTGCTATTTCTGCTTCCACGCTGTAGCTTTCAACCTAGGTCACCACGAAACTCGAAAATACCATCTAAGAAAGAGCGATTATAAATTAACAGTTGGGACATTTTAGGACAGAATAGGTTGCAGTGGCGCCAGCATCTCGGTGAACCCCGGACGCTCGTCCTTGGACCAACACTGCCATCTGCTGGCCACTCTGAGGGACTGCCAGACCCTCAGTACGGGCTTCCCGGAGATTGCAAAGTAGTGACATCAGGCCAGATGTATTTCTTCCCCCCTTCCCCCCCCGCATTGGGAACACGAAGGTGATAGCTGGTTTTACAGTCCTATGAAGCTGCAATAACCATTGGACGAATAACCTTTATCTTATGGACATTTTTGTAGTTTTCCTCCTTTTTGTGGTGTTGGAGGTCAAATCCAGGTCTTTGTGTAAGCGCTATACCACTTAGCCACACCCCCAGCCCTTCGTCTTAATTGCTCATTCTTTACATTTGTACATGAACTGAGTGTTTACCCACCAAATCTGATGGTCAGCGCAGACCTGTGAGGAAGGTGGGCGGGTGTTTAAGTATTCCTATTTATAAGTGAGGAGATTTAGTATGCCAGCCCTGCTTGGTGACCACAAACCAAGGCTCTGTTGTGCGAGCCACTACCTCTATTTGGAGTCGCATTAGTTTAGTGACAATCAGATGGAAGTGCCATTTGCTTCCGTGGTTGAATATTTGGTGCAGGGAAGACAGAAAGGTTTATGAGCTCAGATTGCCCCATAAAATGCTGCCATGTAAACGCACTCTAGCCTCCACCCAGCACCGGAATGTCTAATGGGCTCCTGGAGACCAAAACAACAGGGTCTGGTGAGGTGCAGGTCCTGGGAGATACTGGTGGCTGCAAAACAGAGATGTTGCCATTGACACAGACCTGCTTGGGTTGCCTGGGCTGAAATTATGAGACCTAGTAGAATGTTACAGAAAAAACAAGATGTGTAATTTTCACAGTTAGAATTAACTTAGGAGAGCTGAAATTAACCAGACCTCAAAAACCTGAATCTTGAGGTCATCAGTGGCTTTGGGACTGTGAGAGTCTCCTGTGGTCTTTAATCATGCCAGGGTGGGGTGAGATTCAATAGTCAATGGTTCCTCAGTGGGATGCACATTGTCCATGGTGATGGGGATGCTGGTTCTTTGGTCTTGTGAAAAGAATGATGGGCTCTCGCTTCTGGAAGTAGGGCCCTTGCATTGCTTCCTGTGACTCTGTAGCTTAGCATGCTGTCTTCTGTTATAAAGTCACATTCAGTAACTTTTCAGTCATTTGCGGGGGACGAGATGGCATACTGTTAAATAGAAATGACAAATAAGTGTGGTGGTGTGTGCTTGTAATCCCAGCACTCAGGAGGCTGAGGCAAGATGATTGTGAGTTTGAGGTCAGCCTGGTCTACATAAAACCTCTGTGAGAGGCGGGGAGGAGGAGACAGGGAAAGGGAAGACAGAGAGAGAGAGAGAGAGAGAGAGAGACAGAGAGACTATGATCAGATTTGTTTCTGAATATATTGGTTCATCTTCAAAATCTTCGTAGCTACAACAGGGTGTGAGTGAATTGCTGGCCTTTCTTAGGAAGGAGGAGTTAAAAGAACCTTCTGGTGTTGCTGTCCTCTAACACATCTTAGGAGTCTGCAGGAAAAGATTCTCTATGAAAACCAAGGCACTTTCAATTAAACTACGGAGTGGCGCAAGCCAGCAAGTCTGGTGTTACCAGTCTGAGGATCAGAGAGATGGACAAAATGTCAGCTTTGGGGTCAGAATCCTCTGATGTGATTTGCATTGTGCTTCTGAGAAAGGAAGGGAGGAGGACTAGAGAGAATGGGGGAAAACTGCATCCCCTGCCTGACAGTGAACTTGACGGAGAGCTCTTTTCTGTTATTTCTCTAACTTGTGGCAAATGCTTTTTGAGCTGTGAGTCTGGATGATTGAGGCTGAAGGCCAACTGTTATTGGCATGAGAGAAACAATGATTAAAAAAAGATTTGATTGGAATCCATTGCCTCCTTGCAAAGAGCTCTGTCTTGCAGGACTTACAGTGCCACCAGCCTCATAATTTGTCACCTCAATTACTAAGATGTGCACATCTTTTTGGATGTGCTCCGGGGTGGGAATAACTAATTAGGAATGAGCATTTACTCCCAGGACAGAAAAGCAAAGGAATGGCAAAACCCTCACTCGGTGGAGTCTCTCTCTCCTGCTGTTCTCCATCCCCTCCCATGGGCAGACACTCGGCAGTTATTCACGAGTAAGGGCCTGAAACGTCACCAACACGCCTGCATTTCTAGCCAGGGAACTGCCGTTATCAGAGACAGAAGTTTGAAATCTTAAGCAAACACATGTGATGCTCAGTTTTCACACGGTTATCGCTCGGTTGGAGGCCCTGTTTTCATTGCCCACTTTGTATGTCAGTAAATAATCCTCCCTGGCAGCAGGTCCACCATATCTGGACACACAGAAGGAAATATGGTGGGGCCTGGCCAGCGCAGAACGCTCTGCAGAGCCTGCTCTGTAAGTGCAGGGAGCCCTTACATTCAGCAATGCTGGAAAGATACATCACTGGCAAGTCTTGCCAAAGAAATACAGGATATAAATGTGATAAAAACCCAAGACGTCAAGCTGGCGCTGGAAGCTGCTTTGAAGTTCACTAAGTGGATTATCAGTGGGAGGCTGATATTTGTGTGTACAAACACACAGGCCCTTACTGCTAATTGTGGTAAGCCAGGCGGCCAGCCTGGCTCTGGGGCCCCCTGCGTCTGCCACTGCAGCAGTGTAGAAATTCTGCATCCCCCCAGGCACCTGCCAAGATCCTCAGAAGCCATCAAGCAGCCAGCATCAAATGAATTGCATTTGGGTCTCAGCACTGCAATTATGTTTTGCCCATAGTGAGGGATGAAGAAGGAAAGAGGGCTCCAGTTTGTGTCAGAAAATAGTAAGGGGTGCAGAAGGACAGGGACGGGGCTGGAACACTGGCCTTCCTTGAAAAAGACTCTGCTGTGGAGTGGAGAGAGCATTGGTTTTGCATGTCATACATCTTTAAAATCTCACAAAGCCTTAAAATCATGGCTCTGTCACTAGCTGTGTGTCTTTGGGTCATTTGCTAAACCTCTCTAGGCCTCAACTGCCACTTCTTGAAATCAACTATGACACAGGGTTATTCTTAACAAACACATAAAAAAACTTTGGCCTAGTAAATAGTGGATTCTCATTCTCTTATTTTTTTTTCTATCCATTGTCCCCTCTTGCCAGCATTCCACCTTTCAACTAGCTGTCTTTCTTCCTCCTCAATTTTCTTGATAGAATTCAATGGAGCAGAATCTGGACTTCTGCAACTGGGCACCACTAAAATCTACATTTAGGTTATTATCTACTGGGTCCTCTCCAACAAACATAAAACAACTCAAACTAGCTGGGTGCCAGTGGCTCACGCCTGTAATCCTAGCTACTTGTGAGGCTGAGATCTGGGAGTCTCGGTTTTCAGCCAGCCTGGGGAAATAGCAGGAGAGACCCCACCTCCAAAATAAGCAGAGCAAAATGGACTGGAGGTGTGGCTCAAGTGGCAGAGCACCTGCTTTGCAAGCACGAAGCCTTGAGTAAAACCCCAGTACTGTCAAAAAAACCCCAAAAAAACAAAACACAACAACTTGAGTCAAATAAGGTATATACTGAGCCCCTGAAATGTTTAAAAATGTCTCACTGAAGGAGTCCTCTACACACATCTTAGTGTCCAGAGTCAGTGAGGGGGCAGACTAAGCCCCACCAGCTCTCATTGCCTGATGTGGGGTGCAGTGGAACCCAGTGTGTCCCAGGCCCAAGGACAGGTGCTGATTTCTATGTTAGCTTAAAGCTCTTGTGTGCCCAGGCCACACTGAGTGTGGGTGGGGGTGGGCATTTTTTTTCAGGGTTTGAACTCAGGGCCTTGAGCTACTCCACCAGCCCCTTTTTTTGTGATGGGTGTTTTTGAGATAGGGTCTTGCGAACTGTTTGCCCAGGCTGGCTTTGAACTGTGATCCTCCTGATCTCTGCCTCCTAAGTAGCCAGGATTACAGGGTAAGTCATTGGCACCCGGCTGGGGTGGGCATTTTAGGTCCCAACATCTGCGAGCCCTGTGTAGCTCCTTTTCCCTGCCATCAGTGAGAGTGCTTTCCCCAGACCTCATGTGGAAAGTGAAGGAAAAGAAATGAGCAAGGGCACCTGAAGAGGGAACCTAGGGAAAGTGGTCTCTTCAAGATTGGCTAGAATAGACCCTTAGTGGTCTGTTTGGAAGGCAACAGGGCCCTCTTTCATTTCTTTCCCTCTTCATTTTGTTCCCCTCCCTTCCTTTCTTGTCCACTCCTTGCCCTGCTTCTGTTCTGTGGACATTCAGTTTCAATCCTTCTCCACTTCCCGAGGAAGTCAGAGACTCAAGAACGTGGTTTCTACAGGTGCTGTTTCCTTAATTTGAAGATGAGCACGAGCCTCTGTAGAATTTGGTTCTGTTTTCTGCTTCTTGGGCAGGCGCTCTCCTCTGGTTTCCCCAGCTTCTCTGTTCCTGCCCTGTCCCAATCTTTCTAGGCCTCCTGATCCCAGGGGGGCATCCAGGTGTGTGCGTGGGTATCACAAAGGCCGCCTCTGGGTGACATTGGCTGAGAATTTCAGAAACTCTAGATCCTAATAACAATTTACCATTAAAATGAAAAGATTTGTTCTAGCCTAAGCAAGTTTTCTGAAAGTTGTTGAGGATGTGACTATGTGACTTCTTTTTTGGTGGTACTGGGGTTTGACTTGAGTGCTTCATGCTTGCTAGGCAGGCGCTCCAACCGCTTGATCTTACCACAAAACAGCAGCCCTGTTTTGTGATGGGTTTTTTGGAGATAGGGTCTCCAGAACTATTTGCCTTGGGCTGGCTTTGAACCAAGATCCTACTGATCTCTGCCTCCTGAGTAGCTAGGATTACAGGTGTGAGTCACTGGTGCCCAGCAGGATGTGACATCTTGATGAATTGAAACATGAAGGGAGTAGCAACCTAGTTGGAGTAAACACTGCTCTAGTTTAAAAATTGAGAAAAAAATCCATCACGGTCCTTCCTTCTTCCCTCCCTCCCTCCCTCCTTCCTTCCATCTAAAGGGCACTTGTGAACACCCCAGGTTTTCAGAATTGGAAAGCCATAGGCAGTCAACTTTCCCCTCAGATGGTGTCAGGATCCCCATCGCTATTTGATTCTTTCCTTGTCAGTGCCTTACTGCTTCAGCCACGAGTCTTCAAGTCCATTGTGCAGGCATGAAGAGAACCACACTCACGGCTGTTTTCTATTGGCTAATGGTGTTTCTGTTTGGCTTTTGACTTTTGCAGATTTCCGGAGCTATGGGGACGTCCCGCCAGGCCTTCCTGGTCTTCGGCTGTCTCCTCACAGGTATGTATCTCCATCCCCTCAGGTCGTTGCCCTTGGGAGCACTGGAGCATTGTTTCTGAGTCCTGTGCTCTCTGGGTCTGTTACCTGTATTCTGTGCACATAGGTCAAAGACCATGAGACGAAATAGAGGATTATCGAGAATGATCAGAGACCTTCTGTTCCCTTGGCTGTATTGCATTAATTCCATTTCAAAACAAAGGTTTCCAGGCCATTGATAGGTTTGTTGTAATAGTTCAAACCTGTCCACTGCCCTCTTTCTTTCCTGGGCAAGGCTTCCAGTAGGCGTGGATCAGAGAAATTGAAGCCTGTTCAAAGGAAATGAAGAACAGAACATTCTTGTCCAGGACATCATACCTGCCTAATAAAAGATGCTTGCTTGAAAATCTTGGTGCCATATTTACCCTTGGCTTGGAATGTAATCGACAGACGTGTTTGGCTCTTGGAGAATCAGGAGGGCACCACGAACCATTTATTGAAAATGTTTATCAGACTTTCTCAGTTTTCATCCAGGTTCTGAGAAATTCCTTTAAAGTTGGGTGGAATTCCCACATTAGGGTCCGAGGGAGATTAAAGATCAATCATGAATTAAGAATTGAGTGGCAATGTCTCTTTGATGAGGGAAACTAGACTAAAATTTCAGGCTTTAGGATGAACTTGGGAGCTTTTGCTCTTGGGCTTTACTTATTACTGGTGAATTGAAATCCACATCATCCTGCTTTGGCCTCTGGAAGTCATTAGAGAGAGGCATGGGGGTGTGCTGTAAGAAGCAGAAGTTGTGCAATTCTCAAGCACAGATCTGCTGTGCACTTTGTTCAGTCCATCTCCCTGCCCCTGGACTCATGTCACCCCCTTTTCTTAAGCTACAGGAAACTTCTGCAGGGCATGTGAGTGATAAAGAAGCCATATGTGCTGGAGCTCATGCCATCTTGGGATATTTTATGATCACACATAAGAGTCTGAGATATGGAATGGGAATCAGACGTCCTCTATCCATTGGAGTGTTTGGAGGGGCACATCTGGGGGACTTGGGGGTTGTTGAGGCCTCTGGAACACTAGCTGCTCTCAGCAGATGCAGTGGCTGTTATAATGGAGGGTCTTTCATGGGTATCCAGGCTAACGGATTTTGCGTAGAAATGGTCATTGTTTGTATAAGCTGCTTCTGTTGCTTCTCTCAGCTCTCCGGGGGAGACTCTCCTTTCTGGCTGCGTCCTATTCAGAGCGTGTTTCCTTTTACAGGGCCGAGCCTAATCCTCTGCCAGCTCTCATTACCCTCTATCCTTCCAAATGAAAATGAAAAGGTTGTGCAGCTGAATTCATCCTTTTCTCTGAGATGCTTTGGGGAGAGTGAAGTGAGCTGGCAGTACCCCATGTCTGTAGAAGAGGACCCCAAAGTGGAAATCAGAAATGAAGAGAACAACAGTGGCCTTTTTGTGACAGTGCTGGAAGTGGTCGGGGCCTCGGCAGCCCACACTGGATTGTACACTTGCTATTACAACCACACGCAGACAGAAGAAAATGAAGTTGAGGGAAGGGGTATTTATATCTATGTGCCCGGTGAGTTGGATGGGTCCCCTGGACCAAGTTTCTTCTCGTCCCGTGTCTCCTATTCATTGTATTAAGATTTTAAAAAATATATAAAATTAGTATGTATTGGAAAATTTTTGAAAAATAGAGAACACACAATTATTTGTTGTTGTTGAGACAGGGTCTGCCTGTGTAGTCCAGGCTGGCCTGGAACTTGCCATTCTCCCACCTCAGCCTCTTGAGTGCTGGGATTATAAATGCACACCAATAGGCCAGGTAGAACACACAAAACTAAATGAAGACCATTTGTTACGTCATTGTCAATAAACACTCCTGGTTAACATTTCAGAGTTTTACTGAGTTTTGAAAATTATTTTTGTTATGGCATGTCATTTATTGATATTGTGCAGAAGACCTGAACTGTACTAATTTATGTTCAGTTCAGTCAAATTCAGCAAATATTTACAGTGTATCAGACACCATGCTCAGTCATGGAGACAGAAGACTGAATAGGTAGGCTTTGTCTTGGTCTTACTTACAGTTCAGTATAATAGCTTCCAAATAGCCACCAAACTTTTCAGTCTGTGGGAGGAAATGGAGAGGGATCCTGAAGAGGCTGGGAGAGTCATCTGATTACATGGCCAGTGTGACTATGGGAGTGGATGACCATGGCCTAGAGTGCTGTGGAAGCTAAGGATGATGGGAGCCCTGAGCCTATGATCCCCAACTCTGCTCAGCTTGTTGGCAGGAAGCATCACTGGGAAGCATGGCCTTAGACTGAGACAGGGCCAGGCCTTGGCCAGTTAAGCCCTCTGTGATTGTTCAAGATTTTGTGACTCTGATCACAGATTTGAGTGATGGCAATTGTGGATGTTGTTGGACAAAACAGAATATTTCAGATGGAGCACTTGCACTTTCTGTCTTTGTGCCATTTTTGTTGTTTTGGTCAGGATGAGGAAAGGAGATTCAATTTATATAACAAGGGTTTTTTTTTTTTTTTTTTTTTTGGTGGGACTGGTGTTTGAACTCAGGGCTTTTGTGCTTGCAAAGCAGATGCTCTACCACTTGAGCAACACCTCCAGTCCTTTTTGCTCTGGCTCTTTTGGTGATAGGGTCTTGCAAACTATTTGCCTGGGCTGGTCTGAAACCTTGCTCCTCTAGATCTCAGCCTCCCAAGTAGCTAGGATTACAGCTGTGAGCCACCAGCTCTTTCTTGACAGTCCTCAAGTTTTGATCCACTTAAAGTGGTTTAAAATTTTTTCCTGTCCTCAGTGAGAGAACAGGTCTCTTCATTGTTATCTGACAGGGAACTTTTTATCAGTGGTCATGGAGGGTCAGGATACTTTTCTTTAGCTGTGACTCAGTATTTCTTACCATGGTGGCTTTGCTAGCAGCTTTTTCAGAAAGGAAGGTTTCAGGCTATGGAATTAAACATGCCAGGGGTCAAACTCACAGCCTTGCACACACTGAGCATATACTGAGCCAGTGTGCCCCGCCTCCAGCTTTACAATTTTCTTTGTTACTTGAGAGATTAGTTTTAATAGATTTCTTGTGCTACTTTTCAGTCTGACTGGCTATGTGCAGTGGGGGTTTGAAAGAGCACTTTATAGCATAACAATTATGACTCTTATTTCGAACTTTTTTTGAACTTTTTTGAACTTTTTTTTTTGGCAGTACTGAGGTTTGAACTCAGGGCTTTTTACTTGCTAGGCAGGTGCTCTACCACTTGAACCATACCTCCTAACCTCCATTTTTGTTCTTAATTGTTGTTTACATTTTGAGTTGGACTATTGGCTAGTATTTTTGTTTATCATCAGCGTTTTTTATTAGGGTACAGGAAGTTGAGTACTATTCAGAATTTATGTTTACCTTCTAGCTGTCATGACAGGTAATGTTGGTAGAGCAACTCTTCTGGACCTCTCTAGAAAAAGGTAGAATTCATACCTGGTAAGAATAATGCTGGGTCAGGAGTATAGTATAGTGAAGGACTTGCCTAATGTGTAAAGCCCTGGATTTGAACCCCAGCACTGCAAAAAACCAAAAAACCAAAAACCTAATAATAATAATAATAATGGCAGTGGGATAGTTTTTCTGCACATATGTGCGAGAGTGAGTGAATGTCTAATAGTCTGTCTTTTTTTAAACTACAGACCCAGATGTGGCTTTCGTGCCCCTAGGGATGACAGATTATTTAATCATCGTGGAGGAAGATGATTCTGCAGTCATACCTTGTCGCACCACGGATCCAGAGACTCCTGTAATCTTACGCAACAGTGATGGGCTGGTGCCAGCCTCCTATGACAGCAGGCAGGGCTTCAATGGCACCTTCAGTGTGGGGCCCTACATCTGTGAGGCCACTGTCAAAGGGAGGAAGTTTCAGACCATCCCATTTAATGTCTACGCTTTGAAAGGTACATGTACTGTTCCCTTCCTTCTTTAAATAGGAGCAACAGGCAAACTAGGATTTTAATTGCACCACAGCCACTGGAGATGGAGGTCCAGAGTTCTGGTGAGGGTATTTAGCAGCCCACCTTACTGTACAGTGCAGTCCACCTCTGTGGCTATAATACCAGGCTTAAAATCACTAACGGCTCAAGCTTTTGTATACCATGTAAGATTTCACGTTTCATGAGTTGACTTCAAAATACTGCATGGAATTCTTGCATAAGCCTCTTACTGTTAGAGTCATATTCTTGGTTATAGAGACCCTATAAACAAACATACACCCCAGGAGGCTGGGTGCCTAGATTAATTTTAGTGATTTAAGAGTTAAGTGATTTCAGTTTTGAGGAATGACTGTACTTAGAGTTTTTAAACTTCATCCCTTTTTTGAGAGTGCTTAGCCTAAATGGAAAAGCGTGACACGTGTTGGGGTTTGGGGTCACCAGATATTAATGGAGCACTTAACTCTGCATGGAGGCTTAGCCGCAGCAAGAATATGCCGTTTGGCAATGATGAAGGGCTTATTTGTGCCAGACACTGTACTAGGCTCTGAGGAGATGCTGAGACTAGCCAAGGAGAGGAGTGGAGGAGAAGAGAATGAAGGGGCCAGAAGCACGGGCCTAGAGCTGCACTGGGCAGGGGCAGTTGGTGCGTAAATGGGTAAATGAGCCACAAATGGTGATTGGAAAAGATACGGCTGCAACTAAATCAGATGCCCCGGAATGTGGTGCTCTGTTCAATTGGAATTCATTCTTACTATTGTTATTATTTGCATTTCTGTATAACTACATGCCAAATTGTGTATGTCAACTCAAAATCAAGGCTTCTGAAGATTGTCCAAAGCTTGTCTTGATCAAACTGGTTTGTGAATTATCTTTCAGGGTTTTCTCTTCCTTTTTTTTTTTTCCGGTACTGGGATTTGAACTCAGGGCCATCACCTTGAGCCACTCTACCAGCCCTTTTTTGTGATGGATTTTTTTCAAGATAGGGTCTTGCAAACTGTTTGCCCAGGCTGACTTCGAACTGTGATTTTCCTAATCTCTGCCTCCTGAGTAGCTAGGATTACAGGTGTGAGCCACTGGTGCCTAGCCAGGATTTTCTTAAAAACAAAGAAACAAATCAAAAAACCCCACGTAAACCTTGTGCAATCCTAATGATACAATGGATATTTAGACGAGATCGGGCGTGTTCAGGGTGGTATGGCCGTAGACAATGGATATTTAGATCCTTGTATTTCATTTTCTTTTTACAGCGACATCAGAACTGGATCTAGAAATGGAGGCTCTTAAAACTGTGTACAAGTCAGGGGAAACGATCATGCTCACCTGTGCTGTCTTTAACAATGAGGTGGTTGACCTAAAGTGGAAGTACCCTGGAGAAGTGGTAGGTACCCTGAAGACACTGAGTGGCATGGATCCGTGCATTCGAGTTATGCCTGTTGCTGATGGGCACTTCCTTAAGCTTCTGCTTCCTGTCTTGACAGTGAGCACATTTGACTCATGGCTTTCTCAAGGGGTGTGTTGAGGCTTGTTGGTCAATGACCAAGAGAGTTTGATATGATCACAGCTGGACCAGGGCCCTGAGAATGCACACAGATTCTTCACTGAGCCCTCTCTTTCAGAAAGAAAGAGGAAGGTTCTATTGTTATAATAAGCCAAAAATTAGAAAGGCAGGAAATATGCTAATTGCTGAGACAGTCATTCCTTCTCATTTTCTGGGCCTCATGCCCTTGAGTTCAGAGGCATTAGGCATTGTTGAGTGCCTGCCCTCCTTCTTTTCTGTTCATTGGCACCCCAGACACTGTGCCTCTCTGTTCTCCTCCTGTGTGCCTGGCTCACCTTCAGTAAATAGACATCTCTGTATCACTCAGTAAAGAGGCAGTGGTGGTTGTGAAGTCCCAAGCGCTGTGTACAAGCTGGTCCTGTGCTGAAGGAGGGAGAGCAGAAGGTGGAGGTGGAAGTGGGCAAAGGAGACCATTATGCACCTCTGGTTGCTGGAGACTTATGCCCAGGGTCTCACGTGTTCTTTTTTTGTTTTGTTTTTAGTTTTAATTGACACATAATAATTGTACAGATTTATGGAGTATGATGTGATTCATTCCTTCCTTTCTTCCTCCCTCCCTCCCTTCCTTCTTTCCTAGCTGGGCCAGTTGACATCTTTCTTTCTTTTTCTTTCTCTCTTTCTCTCTTTATCTCTCTCTTGTTCCCTCCCTCCCTCCCTCGCCCTCCCTCCCCCTCCCTCCTTCCTTCCTTGCTGCACTGGTTGGCACCTTTCTTCCTTTCTCTCTCTCTCCCTTCCTTCCTTATTTCTTTCTCTTTCTTCCCTCCTCTTTCCCTCCCTCCCTTTCTTTCTTTTGTGCTGAGGATCAACCCTGGTTTTCATACATGCTAGACAACTTCTCTACCACTGAGCTATACCTCAGTCCCAATGTAATATTTTGATACATGTATATCTTGTGTAATGATCAAATCAGGGTAATTAGTATATTCATTACCTAACACATTTATTATTTGTGAAGAAGCAATCAAAATCTTCTAGATGTTTTGAAATATACATTATCATTGACTATAGTTACCCTGCTGTACAATTGAACACCAACATAACTAACTTTGTACAAAGTCTTGCTCATGCGCTGTGGTGAGTGTGTAGGAGAACTGTATAATCGGTTATTGAAGTCCGATGTGGAAGTGATTAATCATGTTTAATACCATGGATGGGGGACTCATGGAGAACATTTTTCCTTCGTTCCTGACTTATAAATTTCTGTCTCTCTACTGATCATTTCTCTCCCCTATGCTTTTGCTGCTGCTCTTCCTTCCTCTCTGGGACACCTGATTGGGAGTTGGGTGCCCTCTAGGCCACATGAATGAAGGGACATCCTTATGTAGGTGTACATTTTCCCTGAAATAGGAAGCCATTTGATTTTTTTGTTCATACGGGATTGGCTTTAACCCTTAAAATACAAGCATTTCTTTTCATTTATGGGACATACCAAACCAAAACTCATGCCATTTGGCCCACACATATATAACCAAAGCACTGTTCTCTGTAACACATTTTTCATAAAAGCAATGCAAGTTTATCCCTGGAACTTTGTACAATACAGTGAAATAGAGGGAAAGCTACTTCTCAGAGCATCACACTGTAAACATTTCAGGTAGATAAGCCTTTAAATTTTGTGTACATAGATAAATGTTTGATAACTGATAGATACTATTCTTTAAATAGCACTTTATTATATATCCTTTTTCACTCAGCAGTGTAATTCAGACACCTTAAATACCCTTTTATTTGTTTAAAATTTGTTTGTCAGTGCTGGGGATTATCCCAGGACCTTACACATGCTAAGCTCACACTTTCCACTAAGCTACATCCTCAGCACAATATCCTTTTAAAACTTGATCTTTTAATGATCGGGGTTTTTTTAGACTTTATATTTTAGAGTAGTTTTAGGCTCACAGAAAAAGTGAGAGGTGCAGAGATGTCCCATACAACTCCTTCTCCCACACATGTGCAGCCTTCCCCATTACCGAGTCCCCTGCAGAGTGGTACATCTGTCATAGCTGACAAGTCTACGTTGACACATGCTTGCTAGTCAGAGGCCACTGTTTGCCGTAGGGTTCACTCTGAGGAGAGAGCTTTTTAAAAGTCAGTTTTCTTCTCCTCTGCTGTAGAAAGGCAAAGGCATCACGAAGCTGGAGGAAATCAAAGTCCCATCCATCAAATTGGTGTACACTTTGACGGTCCCCGAGGCCACGGTGAAAGACAGTGGAGATTACGAATGTACTGCCCGCCAGGCCCTTACGGAGGTCAAAGAAATGAAGAAAGTCACCATTTCTGTCCATGGTACATTCTGCTTTCTAAAATGTCAGTCGTCCATGATGCTTGGGATCCACATGCAGTAATCATTATATAATGGAAACTCTTCCCTGCACAGAGAAAGGGTTCGTTGAGATCAAACCCACCTTTGGCCAGTTGGAAGCTGTCAACCTGCATGAAGTCAGACACTTTGTGGTGGATGTGCAGGCCTATCCCCCTCCCAGGATATCCTGGCTGAAAGACAACTCAACTCTTATGAAAATCTCACCGAGATCACAACTGATGTGGAAAAGATTCAGGAGATAAGTAGAGACTTCCCTTCCCAAGAAGGGTTTCTTACTGTGTATCTTTGTCAACAGGTAGAGGTTGGAGGTCTTACCACCCAAAGCAAAAGTCAGACTACCGAACATAGCAAGCTGAGTTAAGACATGCTTACAGTCATGGTCCTTTAATGATACCATGCAATGTGTAGTGGTATGTTGATAAGTATTTAACAATGAAACAAGAAAAAAGAGCTAAAAAGTTCTGCCCCAGTGAAAGACAGGTTAACTGGTCTAGCTAGGGGTGGAGGAAAGATGGTGAAATTGGCACAGTTGGATTGAATATATATCTTGATGTTCAGTACATTGCAAGTTGACATGTGTGGTGATCTACTTGCGAGGCAATTAACACATAAACTTACATGGAACAAAATGTTGCTGACTTCATTGAACACATTTGTCCCAGTCCAGGGCTCCACGGAATTAAGGGTAGAGCCTGGATAAATTTGGTTAGGAGAGACTCTGGTGAACTGTTGGGATCCAACCTTTGATAAGAGTGGTAGATTGCTCTCACCTCTTAACTAATGGTAGAATTTTGGTAAGTTACCCATTGGCCTCAGTTTCCTCATCTGTAATGTAGGATTAATAATAACACCTTGTATTTTTTGAGGCAAGGAATTAGATTACATGATCTCTTGAAGTTTTTTTTTTTTGGCAGTACTGGAGCTTGAACTCCAGTACTGAGGATCGATCCTAGAGTCTCTCACATGCTAGGCAAGTGCTCTACCACTGAGCTATACCCTCAACCCTTCTTGTATTTTTCAGCTAAGATTAGAATAGGTGAAACGGGAATCAGAAGGAACTTTCTTTTTGGCAGCACTAGGGTTTGAACTCAGAGCCTCATGCTTGCTGGGCAGGTACTTTTACTGCTGAGCCACTCAACCAGCCCAGAAGGAACATCTTGAAGGTTCCAGCTGATTAAGTCTTATGCGCTGTTAGAAATTATCCCTAGAGACAAAAGGAGTCCTGCATTTCAAAAGCCTGCAGGAAAGGGGTACACCAGACCTTTCCCACTGGTTCCTATTTCTGAACTAAGTTCCATGTACAATTGAGAAGCATCATCTGAGAGAAGTGTGTGTGTGCTTAGGGATTGAACCCAGGACCTGTGCGTGCTAAGAACACATTCTGCCACTGAACTGTAGCTCCGGCCCATAAGGTGGAATTTTATGATCTCTATAAAGCAGTGAAGAAAAGGAAGTGGAACCCTGGAAGGCTTTCTCCCTCCCTCCCTCTCCCCTCCCTCCCTCCCTCCCTCCCCCTCCCTCCCTTCCTCCCTCCCTCTCCTTCTTCCTTTTTTTTTTGTTATTTTGTGGTGCTGGGGATAGAACTGAGGTCCTTATGAATGTTAGGCCTTCTCCTCTGAGCCACACACTGTGACCTAAGAGGCTTTCTGGTGACATGAAGCAAAGGTGTATACGAGGTGGGAAGTTTTCCACTAGGAACTTTGCACCCTGTTGTGAGGATTGAGGAATAGGGCCAGGCCCAGCTAACTCTCTGCACAAGTGTCTGCAGGATCTGCAGGCTGTAATCAATAGCAATGAAAAGTCAGGCTCGCCAACGGAGAGCTTTGGAAAGCTGCCTCGTGCAGTGATTCAAGAATCCTTCAGCACATAGCTTTTTGGTTCTTATATCGGCCAGGCAACACCAGAATGAACATAGTGAATGGCTATCTGGCTTTGTGGAGTTAAAACCAGTGGCCCCACTGGCTTTCTTGACTGAAGGAATGTAGACAAGGAATGACAGAGGATTATTTGGTCACCAGCAGCCAGGCGTGTTTAAAGGACTTTGAGGAAATCCAGTCCTGAAGCAAATCCAATGTGATGCAGAGGACAGCAGAAAAAGCCCAGCCTGCTCTTATACAGGTGCCAGTGTCCCAGCATTTGAAGGACTTTTAAGACAATGAAATACTTTCTAACATATAATCTCATTTAGCAAATCCTCAGAATGACTGTGCTGTGTGGACAATTAGAATTTCTTTTCTTTTTTTTTTTTTTTTTCGGTGGTACTGGGGCACTCAGAGCCTCACCCTTGCACTCTACCACTTGAGCCACTCTGCCAGCCCTTTTGTTTTGTTTTGTTTTTTCGAGAAAGGTCCAACAAGCTGTTTGCCCGGGGTGGCTTTGAACCATGATTCTCTTGTTCTTTGAGTAGCTAAGACAGGCATGAGCCATTGGCGTCCAGCTCAGTTATCACATTTTATAAATAAGGAAACTGAGGCATAGGGAATTTCAGTAATGCCCAAGGTCATCTTAGTGACCAAAACTATTCTCTACCCAACAAATGGCTTTTACACATTGAGATGTTTTATAAAGGACAAGCAAATGGAAAAAGATTATCTTTATACATTGCCAAATGCCTTGCATGGTACACATGAGAAAATCCTTGGGAAGGTTTATTGAAGTGTGAAGAAGTGTCTTTTTTCTAACTCATTTTTCTGACTTAGCAATGGAATCCTATGCCAAATCAAACAGAAAGAGGATGTGTTGTAATGAGCTTCGTTCTACTCTGTCTGCATCTATCCGGTCACTCCCTCCTTTCCATAGGGAAGCACTTTATCATTAGGTTCTTATGAAACCTTCCAGAGTTGATTAAGGAAATGCAAGCAAGTAGGACTGTTGGATCCTTGATTCTTTTCCCATCCACACAGAGAGTCTCCTCCTTTCCCCCTCAGACAGGGTTCCATGTTTGGCAGAACCATCTAAATGATGGATGTTTTGGAGAAGCAACTTTTTTTTTTTTTAAAAGGTAAAATCAAAGGTTTTCTTTAAATAAGAAAAGCTAGTAGGTGATACTTATTCTCATTCAGAAGTGAGCCTTACCAGAACTGTAACTCTCGGGGTAGCCTATCTTAAAATAACTGGTTTTCTGTTGTGTGTATGATTCAGATCTTCAATGTGGGGGACTCTATTGAGAATTCCAGAAAAGAGACTGATTTTTACAAATGTAAATTTTAAATTGGAGACTGTATTGGCTTCAACAATTGGAGTTTAATTAGCTACTGGTCACTGAAACAAAGTTCTTTTCTTTTAAGGTATCGGAGCAAATTAAAGCTCATCCGTGCTAAGGAGGAAGACAGTGGCCACTATACAATTGTAGTTCAAAATGAAGATGATATGAGGAGCTATACTTTTGAACTGTTAACTCAAGGTATGTAAAGGTGTGTAACGGTAACGCCAGCTCAGTGAATGACTGAACTCAGCACTTCTCTCCCAGGTGAAGCAGGAACTGGGAGATGACATACATCAGCGATAGCTTTGTTGTAACTGTATAATTCAGGGATAGGTTGAGCATTTCTAATCTAAAAATCTGAAGTGCTCCAGAATCTGAAACTTTTTGAGCACTGACATGGTGTCACAAATGGAGAATCTAACACCTGACATCACAGTCAAAACATGGGTACACAAAAATGTATAAATTAAGTTCAAGTTATGCATAAAAGGCATTTAGACTGGGTCCCGTTCCCAAGATATTGCATTATATATATGCACTATGGCTAAATCTGCAAAATTGAAATCCAAAATACTGGATTTTTTTTTTCCAATTTGGAGGATTTAACCACTGAGCTGCACACCAAGCCCCAAACACTTCTGGCCCCAAGCGTTTTGGATGAGGGGTGCTTATCTCTGTAATTTGGGGGAGGGCTGGGTTACTCTGGAGTACTCTGACTAGGAATTCCTAGGCAGGACAGCTTTCTTAGCACCTGCTTCTCAATATGGCACCTAGCACCATGATGCTTTTAGTCCAGATGACCTTCGATTGTTCCAGAGAGTTTGCTTAGCATCCTTTGTAAACATTGTTATGTGGTCCCTGCCAGAGAGAGTGCCCGAGTCTGTTCATGTTGAGTCCTCCATATGCAGACGCTGTCTTAGGTGGACTCTTTTTGTTCTCACAATAATCTGTGATGTAAGTATTAGCCTATTTCCAGCTTATTTGACTACAGATTTAAAAAGAAGGAACTTTACAACCTAACAACGTCCCACAGATGCACTTGGGCAAATTCTGCTTTAGATTATCTTTTTCTTGAATCCATTAGTCAAATTCCAAGCAGCGCTAATATAATTTGAAGAGTCTTCTTGCCTTTCAAGCCAAGTGCCACAGGCACTTTTCACTTTCCTCATTCCAGATTTAAAACATCGCAGGCACAAACCCCAAAACACTGAAACTGTGAAAATGCTCTTAACCAAGTGGGTCTGTTGAAGAGGGAGTGTTACTCATACAACTAGTTTCAGCCCCCTCTCAGGTGGCTTGAATTCCACGTAGACAGCTTCTGAACTCATATGTCACTTTGGAGTCCCCACAGTTCTGCCTGATTTTGACTTCTTTCCACCTTTTGCAGTTCCCTCATCCATTCTGGAGCTAGTCGATGACCCCATGGCTCTGGTGGGGGACAGACTGTGAGGTGCACAGCTGAAGGCGTACCTCTTCCTGACATTGAGTGGATGATTTGCAAGGATATTAAGAAGTATGGAAACCAGATGTTTCTTATCTTGTGTCAGAATGTTCCTCCCTTCACACAAAGAACCTCACATGCATTGTGTTTCTTTGGCTGTTCCTTTTTTATGTTTGTGATTCTTATTTGGCCTCAGGCTCGTGTTACTCATAAACTGTAAGACAGGGTTCTGCACATGGACCCCAGCTTTGGGTTGTGTGTGTGTGTGTTTATGAAGAGGTATAACAGAAGGTCTGTGGCTTTCCTCAGATTCTTCAAGGGTCTCTAATACTGAAAAAAAAGGTGGAGTTTAAGAAACTTTGTCCCAGAGCATTTTCCCTACCCAAGCCATATGTTTTCTCTCTCTTTTCTTATTTGGTGAACTTTTGTTTCAGTGGCTATGGTGGCATGTGAACCTAAATGAAAATTGTGCCCGCTCTCTCCCTCACCCACCTGCTGTTTGATGGGAGTTAACTCACCTGCGTAGCCCAGGCTGACCTTGAACTCATAATCATCATTCCTCTGCCTCCTGAGTGCTTAGCTGTATTCTTCAACTTTTTACAATGAGCATTTATTAATTGTACAAAATAATGGGTTTCTTATTACGACATTTCAAACATTTATATGATGTACTTGATCATGTTCACCCTCCTATTACCCTCTCTGTACCCTTCCCCTTCCTTTACCTTCTTAAATGGGCATGGGCCATGTGTCACCCCTCTCCCCATGGTGACTGGCTGTGTTCAGAAGCCTCGATTTCTTCTTCCCAAGGCTGAGACCCTGGTCCATTCTTTCCTAGGGCTCAGGGGTAACTGGATGCTGACTGGAGCTGGGCTCCAGGTCTTATAACTCAACTCAGGACTGTTCCAACCCTACTGATGTTCTAGGGGCTCTTCCCAGTGTGGGTGGTGAGAAGGGAAGATGTTGGTCTTTTTGAAACAGTGGGAAATAAGAATTGTCAAACATGCTTGACATTGAGCTGTTCAGCTTGTTCATAGGCTCAAGATTTGGGATAGTTATATTTATTAAACTTATTTATCTCTGCTCCTTCACAAACAATTAACTTTGAGTTATCAACATTCAGGTATTTCCTCTTGAGCCTGTGCAAATGAGTTTAATGTTGATATGCACATAAAATGAGAAAGCGAAGCTGTGATGCACTCAGATGTAGACAAGGTCACTGAGCCACTCCATAACTCACGATAATGGACTGTATATTTGTGTCCTGTTTGTTTCTCTGTAGATGTAGTAATGAGACTTCATGGACAATTTTAGCTAATAATGTCTCAAATATCATCACGGAGATCCACCCCCGAGATGGGAGTACTGTGGAGGGCCGAGTGACATTTGCCAAAGTGGAGGAGACAATTGCAGTTCGATGCCTGGCTAAGAATCTCCTTGGATCTGGGAACCGAGAGCTGAGCTGGTGGCCCCCAGTGAGTTGCTCGATAATCAGGACAACTCCAGGTCATCACCTGAGCCCTGTCTACATCAGGTGGAACACAGAGTCTCCATAGGGTCATGTAGGAGTGAAGGTCCCAAGGCAGAAATTCAGCTGAGTGTACTTAAAGGGCCTTTCTTCCAGATTCCACACACAGCTGCATTTTGCAGAGGCCCCTGGACATTTTGCTTAACTATTAATATAATCACTCGTCTCTTCAATCTGAGCATCTGTCTATGGGATGGAAAATGAGGAAGAATCTTTTATCTCACTGCCCCTTCAACAGTTGAGACAGGTTGAGTTCTTAAAACAAAAGGATGAATGAAGTCAAAGTAATAGAACAGAATGCAGTCTGTTAAAGTAAACTTTATAATGAAGCTTTCTGCACATTCGGTAGCTCTCAGTCTCATCTATCAGTCTCTGTTGTTCTCATTCTGTCCAAAATGTTATTGGAGCATCTTTGAGGAAGTGTTGAGTTCTCCGGATAGAATTTTTTCCCCTGCTTTTCCCAAGAAAGAGCTGTGTAGTTTCATGGTGTTTAAGAGATGGTATTGCGGCCCTTTCACTTCCTTACCTGCAGTGAAAGGTTCTCACTCTCCTGCACATCTGTAAGGAATTCTTCACCATGTCTCTCTTTTGTCCCCCAGCCCTGCGTTCTGAACTCACTGTGGCAGCCGCAGTCCTGGTGCTGTTGGTGATTGTGATCATCTCACTTATTGTCCTGGTTGTCATTTGGAAGCAGGTGGGTATTTTCTTAGAGCACTACAGGTCTTTGAAGCTAGTCAGAACAAGAACAACAGCCTCATTCAGTGCGTGGGCCAGAGAAGGGGCCCAGTAATGGCAGGTGGAACAAATGGTGTTGGACCTCCTCTGTCTCACAGTGAAGATCTGGTGTTTTGGGACTTTGGTAATTCACCAGTTATTTGTTCTGGTCATTCATAGAAACCAAGGTATGAAATTCGCTGGCGGGTCATTGAATCAATTAGCCCGATGGACATGAATATATTTATGTGGACCCGATGCAGCTGCCTTATGACTCGAGATGGGAGTTTCCAAGAGATGGACTAGTGCTTGGTAAGTTCCTGAGGGTGTCTCCCAAGACTCTAGGCTCACTTGTACATACCTTTATTATTTGTAGGCCTGGGGTGGAATAAGGGATCTCAGCTCTGCTTAGCAAGAACTATGCAATAGAAATTTGCTTGCAGAAATACATTTTCATTTCATTACCTGGGGCTAGGGGGACTTAGGGGTAGAACACATGCCTAGCATGTATGAGGCCCTGGGTTCTTTCCCCAGCATTGCAAAAAAAAAAAAGTTGATTGTATCATTGCAATGATTTTCAAAATCTCATACTATAAAAAGTTATGGCTGACCAGGCTCTGGTGGCTCACACCTGTAATCCTAGCTACTTGGGAGGCTGAGATTGGGAGGATCCTGGTTTGAGACCAGTCTAGACAAATAATTCATGAGAGCCCATCTTCAAATTAGCCTGACCAAAATGGATTGGAGGTATGACTCAGGTGGTAGTGTGCCTGCTTTGCAAGTAAAAATCCCTGAGTTAAAACCCCAGTCCTAACCCCCTACCCCCCAAAAACGTTATGGCTAAAGAACATTTTACAAAGGGAGAAAAGAATATGAGAAGGCCTGACAAAGATATCAGCAAAGTGACTTTGCTTTGGAAATGACACAAATTGAAAGTGAAATGAATTCCAGTATACATCCTTTTTGTAATACCTTAAGGATTTTTAGACTAAGCTCTAGGTTCTGGCATTCAGAATTTATGAGATTATCCATGATAGAGACTAGTTATAGAAATCATATATTTCAAGGATAACATGGTTATCATAAGTCATAAATCATATAATATTGTGACTTGCTGATACCCATCCCTGGATTTGGGTCAAAATACCTACTGATTTTCCCATTGGAAGGAGGTGGGAGTGGAGGCAAGTGTTTGTTGTACAATGTCAGATGGAGAATGATACTGTCTTAATTTTGCAGTATACTGCATTTGTTGGTGCTGTTTTTTTTTTTTAAACAGTGCAGCAACAGCTTTTTAGTAAGGTAAGAAACAAAGTATTTAACTCATTCATTAAAAAAAAGGACTACATGCCTGGCACAGGTGGCTCACGCCTGTAATCCTAGCTACTCAGGAAGATCACGTTTTGAAGCCAGCCCGGGCAAATGGTTCGCAAGACCCTATCTCGAAAAAAACCCTTCACAAAAAATAGGGCTGGTGGAGTGGCTCAAGGTGTAGGCCCTGAGTTCAAACTCCAGTACTGCAAAAAAAAAAAAAAAAGAAAAAAAAAAAGGACTACATGAGAGATGAATAGGAAAAGCACAAAGCTGTCCAAATTATATTCTTAGGATGCATAGGATACTTCTTTATATATGCAAATATAGGATATAAAATTATAGGCACTACTACGTGCAGTGGTTCAAACCTGTAATCCTAGCTACTTGGGAGGTAAAGATTGGGAGGATTGCCTCTTGAGGGCAGCCTGGGCAAAAAGTTCAGTAGACCTCCATCTCAGTCCATAAGCTGGGCGTGGTGGTGAGTGCCTGTCATACCAGATATGCAGGAAGCATAACTAGGAGGATCATCGTCCAAGCTGGCCCAGGCAAAAAATTCCAGAGCTTATTAAAAATAATTAAAGTGAGAAGGGCTGGAGGCATGACTCAAGCTGTAGAGTACCTGCTTAGCAAGAACTAGGCTCTGAGTTCAAACCCCAGGACCACCCAAAACCAACCAACCAAACAAAAATACTGGTATGTTTTAAAGGAAAACATGTCAAAACAACCAAGCCAACTTGTTAACAGAGTTCACGTACTTCATTCCTGGGCTGAAACCAAGTACTTGATGTCCAGGGAAGTCCTGTTTTTGTTTTGTTTTGTTTTGTTTTAAATCACAGTCTGAACGAATGACAACAAGGCAAAGGCAAATGAAAGTTAGCGTTAGAGGTGTGCCACAGAGAATAATCTCACCAAGTATAGTTTTAATTATCCACTGTTTCATGCAAATGCTGCACAGTTTAGGTCTTAGTTACTTAAACTGAAATCGAACAGGGAACCCTCGATTGCTCCCAATTTCAAATGCTTACATCTAAGCTTGCTTTATTATATTTTCACCACTGTTTTCCAAAGAGAAATGAAGAGCTTAGAGAAGTTAAGAAGTAATAAAATATGTGGGGAGGACAAGGGCGGAATCCCTGACAAGCACTGCTTTTCTCTGTGCTCCTGGGCACGGTGGAGCAGTGCCTTTCCGGGTAGGGTTGCCAGCAGTGCCCATCTGTGGGGAGGGCAGTGTTGGCTCCTTGTGTCTTCCATGGGCTGTTTCCTGGATGGGCTGCCCATGGTAAGTGGCACCCTGGAAACATTCCTCTTACACTGTGAGCTCTTTAAGGGTGAGGAAGACAGCTTCAATTTCTCTTTGTCTCTCCAGACATTAAGGAAAAGGCTGCTTCAGGGCATGTGGAGCCTCTGCTGTAGTGGCCTTCTGACAGATAGGCAGCGAGGAGGCATCCCTGGATTCAGTGATGTTTTGAATCCTCAGCTATTTCCAGTAGCTAAGGGAATTGATGCGAAGGATGCCTCTGTTTGCATGTGGGAAACAGAAGGGTAAAGAACCAGGGCATTTGGGCAGGAGCCACAGAAGCAAGTGCAAAGCAGCCCAGGGCCTGGCCAGCACTGAGCTGGGAGCTGGGAGCCAGTGTTCACACAGGGAGGGCTGCCCCTTCCTCTCTGCCGTCTGTGTTTTCCTTTCCATTGCAAATGTTATTTGACAAAAGCAATTACACTAATTTCCTTCCCTGTGGGCTCAATTCTCTTTTTGACATGATGTCTTAGAGGAATAATTAGGCTTACTCAATACAGGAAAAACACCCACCCAGCTGTACACCCGTGAGTGCTGGCTGTGGCCAATAAAGCTGAGGAGGCGCCTGGAGCTTGCATGTGTTGATGATTCTGTTTGCCCACAGGTCGGATCTTGGGATCTGGTGCATTTGGGAAAGTGGTTGAAGGAACAGCCTATGGATTAAGCCGGTCCCAGCCTGTGATGAAGGTAGCGGTGAAGATGCTCAAACGTAAGTGCTGCTTCCTAGGGATATTTGAACACGGAGATGTAAAGTGAACTGCTCAAATGCACACAGCTAGTAGGGTAGCAAATTTAAGACTAGATCCTGGTTCTTTTGCCTCTAGGTTTTTTTTTTGTGTATTTGGACTATTTTATTGATTTGGCATATTTTCATTGCTCTTGTCACTCACATGTTAGAAAATCAGGCGTTATTTCTAGTGACCTCCTTTTATCCTTTAGAGTCTAGGCTGAGTGGATTTCTGTTCTTTCAGACTCTTCATAATAAAATGATGTAGAATCACAAGGTTAGCCATACTCTTGGCTTTTCCTGAGAATGAGCAGATAGCATAGTTGAATTGATACATGATTTATTTCTTCAACAGCCACAGCCAGGTCCAGTGAGAAACAAGCTCTCATGTCTGAGCTGAAAATAATGACTCACCTGGGGCCCATTTAAACATCGTGAACTTGCTGGGAGCCTGTACGAAGTCAGGTAGGCTCACTGATGGGATGAGTATTGCACTGAACACCTGTGGTTGTGAAATTGTCGAGCCAGGAGAAGTTCTCCCTCTTCAACCCAAGCACACCTGGGAATATTAGGCTCTTTTAGTGGAGTCCCCGGTTCTGATGGAAGCTCACTATTTTCGAGTGGCTTCTTTTGCCAGTCCAAATAGAGCAATTCTTGGCTTTTCCATCCTTCATAGCCATCTCCTAACTGGTTTTGTTCCCATAGGCCCCATTTACATCATCACTGAGTACTGCTTCTATGGGGATTTGGTCAACTATTTGCATAAGAATAGGGATAGCTTCTTGAGCCACCACCCAGAAAAGCCGAAGAAAGAGCTGGACATCTTTGGATTGAACCCAGCTGATGAGAGCACACGGAGGTGAGTGTGACGAGACATTGATGTCCCATTGTCTTGTAAGCCTCACAAATGGAGAGAACCCACGTCTTCAGAGATTTTGTGTCTGTAGATTCAGAGGTAGCAAGACTTAGAGTCCAGCCAGCCTACCATGACAGCGCAGATGGGTATGTGTTGTCTGCAGGTGTTTTGGACTGTGTCATTGTGGGAAGGCCATTTGAATGAGAGTGAGAGTTGGACTCATTGGGGGAGCCCTTTTGTTGTTTATGTGTAACCCATCGGGATGTGTAAAATGAAGCTTTGGCCAGAAATGCCTGAGTTTTCAAAGCTTATGAGAAACAGAAATCTCCAAGCTTGAGCTATTATTGATCCTTGCTGAATCTGAGCCCATAAATCAAGCTACTGATAATGGTTTCCATAACAGAAACCTGTAAGTGGTTTCTATAAACCTACAAAGCTCTCTAGAAGTCTGTTAAGAACAGAAAGTACAGTGACCTCACTCTGTATTAAATAACTTCATGGCCATCGAATGGGTGCTAAATTTATTGAGTAGCAGGAACCGTCTGCCCAAGCCATATGGTTCATGGCTTATGAGTTCAAAGACAAAGAAGGAATAATGGCAGACTTAATGTTACGAATTTTTCAAGTTTTAAATGTAGCAAGGGGCTGCCTTAGGTAAGATTTCTGTGTCTCTTTTTACAGTTACGTGATTTTGTCTTTTGAAAACAATGGTGACTACATGGACATGAAGCAAGCTGACACCACTCAGTATGTGCCCATGCTAGAAAGGAAAGAGGTCTCTAAGTATTCAGACATCCAGAGATCACTGTACGATCGTCCAGCCTCGTATAAGAAGAAAGCTGTGTTAGGTAAAAGTGTCTGTACTCACTCTGCATCTTACGATCTCCTGGTGGTTTAATATGATACTGAAGATACTCAGAGGAAGGTGAATCGGGCTGATAAGTAACGGCCAGGCCACATAGTCCCTAAATGCAGGTCCGTTCAACTGGGTCTGTGACATGTTTTTATAGGTTTGTGACCTGTGAATTAAATTAACTGGGTATATAGCTCAGTGATAGAGCACTTGCTTAGCTTGTGTGGGATCCTGGGTTTGATCTCCAGTACTGCAAAAATAAATGAATGAATAAAGAAAGACTTAATGTAAGCAATTTTTCAAACTTCAAATGCAATTGCTTTACAGAATTTGTTCTGATATAATGACTCTCTCCTCCTTTTTTTGTTAACATGTCTTTCTTTTTAAATGAAGTCATGGTGATTATTGATGGGTTTTATATTTTATGCTCTTGCTTGGCAAAATTGAAAGTTGGCAATGTTACATTGTTTCCTTATACTTTTTTTTCTTAACTTTTATTTTAAGACTCTGATGTTGTGAGTTCAATAACCCTTGATTTTAGCTTTCTTAACATCCAGTTTGTGATAGAAACTGTAGAATAGACAGTTGGAGGTTGTTTTTTCTGACAAGTGTTTCTACTGATTGTTGTCTGAAGGCAGATCTATCTGTTTTCAAAACAGAGGTGTATGTGGAAGGGTTAAGTTGATTTGGAAACTCCAGGGTGCCTATCCAGTGCCAGGCCAGATGGACCAGCTCAGGTTCTGCTCTGGGTGGCCCCTCCAGGACTCTAGCCTAATCATAGACTTGGACTGCTAGATGGGTCTGACCTTGGCTTTTCCTGTGATCTTGTCATTTTGGGTCTGAACCCTCTCATTGGTGGATGCAAAAGTGTTGAGCTGCCATGGAAATTACTTTTAAAATCGCTAGTGTGCTCTGAATTCTTTCAGGATTCTTAAGCAAAAGGTACAATCCATTAAATAAAGAATGTGCCTGTTTTGTAAAGCTTGGTACACAGTAATATTTTCCATTTCTGCAATTCTAAGTTCCATTTATTGCACATTGCCAAATGGTGAACTTCCAAATACTTTTTAAAGTGTATGCAGCGAGAGTTATCGGAACCAGTGCTTCCTCTCCCGCCCATGTGGTTAAAAATAGTTCCCATTGCTTCTCAGGCTGAGCTTGTGGACTTGGCACCAGATGTGAGGGGAACCTGAGTCATGCTTAGGGCCAGGCCCTGTTGGCAGGCAGGCCACGGTTTTCTGGCCTGCCTGTAGCTGGCTGAAAAAAATGTGAATGGCTGGAGCTACTCTTCACTTGCCTGAAAATTCTCAAAAAGGACTGAGTCTGCTGGCCTAGATTGCTGTCTTCCTCGAAACCCTGGGACCCTTCCAGATGGGAAGAATTGGGGAAAGTGGGCAAGTTACACTCAAATGGAAGTCAATGCAAAAATCAATGGCACCAGTCTATAAGATTGCTGCCTTGTCTGTTTAGTAGTTGATTTAATAATAAGCAAAATACTCTGAAGCTAGCTTTGAAAAGAAAATAAAGCAATTTCCAGAAAGTACTTTTTTCAAGGTGTCTTTGTGTATTTGTCATGGAAGATTTTAGTGTGTATGTGTGTGTGAGTTTTAAGATGGCTGACCTCTCCAAATGTTGCTGGGAAAACTGGATATCTGCATGCAGAAAACTGACACTGGATCTTTATCTGTCACCCTGTACAAGTATCAACTCAAGGTGGATTAAGGACCTTAATGTAAGGCCTGAAACTTTGAAGCTAGTGCAGAAAAGAGCAGGGAATACACAGGAATTAAGAGGTAGAAGCAATGACTCCTAAGTAGAACTCAAATGGCTCAGCAGCTAAGAGAAAGGATTGACAAATGGGAGTACATGAAATTAAAAAGCTTCTGCACAACAAAAGAAATGGTCTCTAAATTGAAGAGGGTGCTCACAGAATGGGAGAAAAATCTTTGCCATCTATACATCTAACAAGGGATTAATAACCAGAATATACAGGGAGCTCAAAAAAACTAAATTTCCCCAAAATCAATGACCTAATGAAGAAGTGGGCAAATGAACTGAGCAGAGCTTTTTCAAAGGAAGAAGTCCAAATGGCCAAAAAACACATGGAAAAAATGCTCACCATCTCTGGCCATAAAAGGAAATGCAAATCAAAATCACGTTAAGATTCTGCTTCACTCTTGTTAGAATGGCTACCGTCAAGAATGAGGATGTGGGGGAAAAAGGAACCCTCATACTGCTGGTGGGAATGTGAATTAGTACAACCACTATGGCTCCTCAAAAAACTAAAAATAAATCTTCCATATGATCCAGCAATACCACTCCTAGGGATATCCCTGAAGGAATGTAAGTCAGCTTACAACAAAGGCACCTGCACACTCATGTTTATTGCAGCATTATTCACAATAGCTAAGCTATGAAAATGACCAAGATGCCCCACTACTGATGAATGGATTAAGAAAATATGTGGTATTTATACACAACGGAATTTTACTCAGCTACAAAGAAGAATGAAATTTTGTCATTTGCAGGTAAATGGAACTGGAGAATGCCACCTTAAGTTAGTCAGGTTCAGAAGGCCAAAAGCTACATGTTTTCTCTCATATGTGGAATATAAACCTAATACAAATACAGCAATATTATGAAAAACAGATCACGCTAAGGGGAGGTCACATATGAGAGAGAGTAAAAGAAAGTTAAGAAGATGAATATGGTTGATGTACTCTCTATACAAGAATGAACGTAGAATGTTTTAAACCTATTGAAAGTACCATAAGAAAGAGACTAAAGTAGAAAGAAGGAAAATAGAGAAGATGAACTAATTTGGGTTATATAATACATACATACATGGAAATGTCACAAGGGACCTCCCTGTGTAGCTATCTTAAACAAGCAAAAATGTCATTTTCTTCTACAAAGTCAGAGAACAGGAAGATGGGACAGGTCCTGTCTGGGGACTTTGGTACCAGTGGGAGCAGGGAGAAGGTGGGGAAAGGGCCTGGGATGGTGAATATAGTGCAAATACTGTGTACACAGGTATATAAATGGAAAAATGGTACCTGTTGAGACTATTCCAAGAATGGGGGAGGGAGGGATAAAGGAGAATGGCGGAGGGGGTGAATTCAACTATGATATATATTGGATATATTGTAGGAACTTTTGCAAATGCCACAATATAGCCCCACCCAGCATAACAATAATAAAAAAAAGATAGCTGAGGTGACTGCTAAATGGGGTGGAAAAAAGAAATTTGGGGGGCAAATAAAAAATCTCTATGTGAGAACCCATATGGGAGACTTATGGCTATATGTGTCACACACACACACACACACACACACACACACACACACCCCGGTATGTGTTTCTTCTGCATGCAGGCTGAGAACCTCTTATCCAAAATGCCTCAAACCACAGTGTTTTGGATTTTTTTTTCAGGTTTCAGAATATTTGTATGTATATAATGAGAGATCTTGGGAATGGCAGCCAAGTCCAAACAGAAGATTCATTCATGTTTCATATACACCTCATACGTGTAGCCTGACAGTAATTTCGTGCAGTATTTTTAGTGTGCTTTTGTTTTGACTGTGATCTGTCACATGAGGTCTGGTGTGGAATTTTTTACTTTTGGCATCCTGTTGGATTTTTAGATCATTTTGGATTTCAATTTTTTTCTCTAGGAGTGCTCAAACTGTATGTGTTTCTTTTTGAAAAAAGAACCTTTTCACTATTTCCTTCTTTGGAGTGGTAGAGGTTGAAGTCAGCTAGGCAAATGGTCTAAGACTGAGCTGTACCCACTGTCCCCTTTGCATGGTTCATGTGAGGTCTACAAACTCTACGTGAAGATAGTTTGGGATGTGTGTTTTGGACAAGGCTTTGCCACTGGCCAGTGGCCTGTCCAGCGGGTGAAGCTCAATGGTGCGTTTAATTCCTTTTCTGCAGACTCGGAAGTCAAAAACCTCCTTTCAGATGATAACTCAGAAGGCCTTACTTTGTTGGATTTGTTGAGTTTCACCTATCAAGTTGCCCGAGGAATGGAATTCTTGGCTTCAAAAAATGTAAGTTCAAAGCATGGAGAACTTTTTAGATGCAACTAAAGATTCAGAGTGAGGCGTATGGAAGGAGACACTAGGAGGGACCCTGGAGTGGCAGTAATGGCGGTTGCCTCCTGCTTACCTACCTCTCTGCCCCCTCCCTTGAGCAGGGCTGGGAACCAAAATCATCAGGTATCTGCTTTTCTCCAGAGCTTCCTGTCTGCCTGGAGGGGTTGGAGGGAGGGTGAGCTCTGTGCACCTCACAGCTGCATGTGTCACCACAGAGTGGCCATTCTTGCCTGGCCTCAGCTGGATTGACTCTGAAGTCATTTCTGCCCTTTTTATATAGTGTGTCCACAGGGACCTGGCTGCTCGCAATGTCCTCTTGGCACAAGGGAAAATCGTGAAGATCTGTGACTTTGGCCTGGCCAGAGACATCATGCATGACTCGAACTACGTGTCAAAAGGCAGTGTATGTACCCTCTGCCCTCCCTTGAACTCTCTCTTTACCTCCTTCATTCTTTGAAGTCAAGTGTTGCTTCTTGCCATACAGCCCATCTGTTCAATGTGGCATCTGTGAGGTTCATGAATTGGCATTGGAGGGTCAGTAGGAAAAGCCCAGGCTCAAAAGGCAACTGGCCTAGGTGTGAGTACCAACTCCATCCTGGCACTCGGGCTGCGATTTGGGGCAAGTTCCTTGCCCATTCCATGCCTGGCTTTGCCTATCTATAGAAGCATCCATCTCCAGAGTTGCTGTGGGGGATTAAATCAGGGAATTCATGTAAAGTACCTGTTGACATTACTTTACAGTTGCCCCCAGTAAGTGCTAGTGCTTATTAGGTAAATTGTGTGTCTGTGTGCACAAGCATGCATTTCCAACAGGGTGTCTCAAGTTTTTAAGCTTTTGTTAAATTTTTAAAAAGCAAGTGTGACCCTTACAATGGTACCACCATTTCAGTTCATGTACCTTAGAGGCAGTTTCCTTAAAGAGAGTCAGTGTATCATCTTCTTGAACAATCCTCTCCTTCCCTTCTACCTATAGGCAGTGAAGTAGCTTAGGATACACTGTAGGTACAATTCCATGTCACTCCACTGCACTAGTTGTGAGACAGCTACAGGACCGACAGAAGGTGCTCTGTTCCTCAGGTACATCTGTGGCTATGACTTCAAGCTGTGGCTTTTCCTGTGTACCTTTAAGAAGTCACTGAACTTGGATGGAACTGATTTCTTACCTCCTTACATAAGGTTATTGATCCCTTTTATCTTCCCAGTAGTCTTGGAGTCTGAAGGATGCTAATATGGCTATTTTACATCTCTGGCTCAGTTTGATATTTCCACTGAAGTATGGACCAGCTTTGCAAAAGAGTTTACAAAATTCATCTCAATTTCTGACTTTTTTTTTTGCATTACTGGGGTTTGAGCTCAGGGCCTATGCCTTGAGCCACTCCATCAGCCTTTTTTTGTGATGGTTTTTTTTTTTTTTTTTGATATAGGGTCTTGCAAACTATTTGCCTGGGCTGGTTTTGAACCTCGATCCTCCTGATCTCTGCATCTGAGTAGCAGGAATTAACAGGCTTGAGCCACCGGTGCCTGGCTCAATTTTTGACTCTTTGTAGTGGTGGAAAATTACTACTTATTTCTTAACGCTCAGAAGTTGTATGCAGCTCACAGATCGTTGAGTCTGGTCTTAATTTTGTCCCTTGGAATACCTGAAAATAGGGGTCTGGTTTGTACAGGGCTCACACTTTTTGATAACAACTCAGGATCTTTGCAAGAATAAGAAGCATCATTCATCAGGTATTCACTAAGAACCACTAGTCACCAGGTGCCCAGCGCACACCATTAGCAGCACACATGAGACAAGGGTGGGCAAGACCTTTAGTGCAAGCTATTCTCAGCCCAGGAAGGACCCTTTCCATTTCAGGTGTGGCTTAATTTCCTCCCTCTGTTTCCCCAGACCTTCCTGCCAGTGAAGTGGATGGCTCCTGAGAGCATCTTTGACAACCTCTACACCACCCTGAGTGACGTCTGGTCTTACGGCATTCTGCTCTGGGAGATCTTTTCTCTCGGTATGGGCCTGACCTCTCTGCTCATCTGGACTGTTCTGGAACAGCACTGTAGGCAATGCAGGGACACATTGGTCCTTACCCTGTCTGATGTGGGTCCAAACAGACTGAGAAGGAATCTGTTGGGACTGCACCCTCACCCCTGGCCTCTGCCCATCTTCTCCTTTGGTTATGCCAGGGTGATTTTCTTCACTCCCAGCGATGTCTGCCCACTGGTTGCCTTTTCATTTTGGACTTTGGTTAAATGGTTCATCCAGTGGAGTTTCTTCTTCCTTCTATGATGGCAGTTGGTGCTCAGGTGAAAAGTAGAGTGACTGCCCCTCCTGGCCATCATTCTGGAGTAGAGAAATCTCCCAGGCATTTGGTCAGTCAGTCACCAGTGCATGACCAAGTCAGGTGCCTCTGTGGCCAGATGAGGTCTCTGAGGGAAAGACGAGGCACAATTGTAACCCCTGGATGGATGGTTCAAGTGCAAAGTTAAGACTTGCACACCTAGAGATAAACCTTGTGGTACTGATTTAAAATTCTAATGTGAATCCCAAAGAAGGAGAAAGGAGTCCTGGAATGTTTTTGGAAGACTTCAGATGGAACTGAATGTGACCTGGCCTTGTCTATAAAAATGTGAAATGTGCCATGAATGTATCTGTTATCTCCCTGGATCCCTTTTTCTGTCCTAGCTCTCTCTCCCCCTTAAAACAGGGAGCTTTCTGGACATTCCAGGCCCCAACTTTGACTTTTGCTATTATTATTTGAACATTTCTGGTGAAAATTTACTTTCTTGCCTTCAGTGATTCAGAATTTCTCCTTGCTTTTTTTAAGTTTGCTTGTAAATGTAGCTCTCGTAGTCAGAAACACTGAAAAATACTTTTTTAAAGATGCACAATTTTTGCCCAAGGTGCTTGGACTTGAATAGCCCAGAGTCCTGTATAAATTTTAGGTTTGAGTAGGCCTCTGAAGTCAAGGAGATGGTAACACTTAATTTCCTTGAAGGGATTAGGAAGTCAGGGACTCAGGAGGGCAGGCATTCCCTAGTGTGCTGTCTCCCAGGTGTTCCAGCAATGTGTGGTGCATGTGGAAATGCTGTGTCATCCTGATTGTCTTCTTTTGCTGTTAGGTGGCACACCCTACCCTGGCATGATGGTGGACTCTACTTTCTACAATAAGATCAAGAGTGGGTACCGGATGGCCAAGCCCGACCATGCCACCAGTGAAGTGTGAGCTCCCTCCCCATCCGTGGGTCCATGTCCCTGCCTTAAGGGTCTGTGGGGATGGGGTGTCCCCTGCATACTGTCCCCATGCTCACTCTGCACTCTGTGCTTCTCCAGCTACGAGATCATGGTGCAGTGCTGGAACAGTGAGCCTGAGAAGAGACCCTCCTTTTACCACTTGAGTGAGATAGTGGAGAATCTGCTGCCTGGACAATATAAAAAGGTTTGTTTGTATCTGTGACAGTGGTGGAAGGCCATAGGCAAGGAGAGGGAAGAATAGCTGGCAGTTATGCCATGAGCAGCGCTGTTCAGCACTGTTTGAAAGGCGTGTTTTCAAAGGAGGACACAGATTGTGTGATCTTGTGGCAGGGGCTTCATGGAGTGCTCCATAGTCCCCAGAACAATGATGAACAAAAATCCTCTCTTTCCCGAGGGGCTCCGCTTTCTTCTTACAGGCGCGACACCTGTAAGCACTTTATTCTCCAGATGTTTGAGTATCTGAAGCTACTGTACAGTTAGAAGTCTCAGGACATCCGTGGTCGTTAAATTGCTAATCTGAATGCACTTAAATCCATGCAAAATTGGCTTTTACCAGCTGACTGGAAGGGACAGTCCCAGCTGTTATCTGTAGCTCCAGCTGGTTTTCTGCAGCCTAGAAAGCATTGTTCAAGGGAACAAATGTAATTTCATGGACCCAGGCAGGAGCTAGAAATGAATGCAACAACTTTCTGTTGAGGCTTTGAGAAGGAAAGCTAGGCAAACTTGTATCCTGTGTCTTAGATTCAGATTGGGATCTGTGCAGACTTTTCACACCTCCTTCTCTGAGCAGCAGTGTGGGGAGGTTGTCCTGCAGATCATCTCAGCACCTGTTGGGACTCTCATATTTGAGGCAGGGAGGAGGCAGAAGGAAATTGACTTTAGGTTAGTCAAAGACACTCTGATTCGTAGGAATGTGTATTGAAGGTTAGACTTTCCCAACATGTAGGGATCGGGAAGGTGTTGGGTATTGTGTTCCCAGTGGAAGTCATCCCCTTCAATGGCGACAAATGCAAGCCCCTGGAGAGATGATTTGATGGAGCCCAAGGCTCCATGCTTGTCCTGGGTGGGGATGGGGTGCACACAGTCACAGCTGCTGACTTGGGGAGAGGGCTCTTGGTATCTGAAGACCTATGGATAGAAGCTTTTTTGCCATCAGCTGTCCCTCTTTCATGTCCCACCTTTGTGGAGATGGCTGGCATATGACTCCCCTTTGTGTAAGTCCCGCATGTCTGTGAGGTAGTTGTCTGTCTATATTCATTTCTAGAGTTTGGTCAATAACGCTTGATTAAATTTGTTAAATGAATGCTTATAGAGTTACGAAAAGATTCACCTGGATTTCCTAAAGAGTGACCACCCTGCCGTGGCACGCATGCGTGTGGACTCAGATAATGCATACATTGGCGTCACCTACAAAAATGAAGAGGACAAGCTAAAGGACTGGGAGGGTAGCCTGGATGAGCAGAGACTGAGTGCTGACAGCGGCTACATCATCCCTCTGCCCGACATCGACCCTGTTCCTGAGGAGGAAGACCTGGGCAAGAGGAACAGACACAGGTAGACCTGGGTGTCCACCTCAGCTGCCCACCTTTCCTGCTCCTACCTGAAGGGGATGACCCATGGGACCCATAAGGATGTCTTGGATGGTGAACTGTATTCAGGGAGAAAGGTGCAGAATCCCCAGGGGCTTGTGTAGGTTTTTTTGTTTTGTTTTGTTTTTTATTGGGATTTGAACTCTGGCCTTTGTGCTTGCCAGGCAGGTGCTTCATTGCTTGAGGCATGCCTCCAGCCCCAATAAATTGTAAAGAGCAACAGACACCCAAGTTCAGATTTCTCTGATCATCCCACAAGTTTCATTGGACATTTGGTTTGTTCTGTTTGAGGCCCAAATGAGAGCCACACATGGCATTTGGCTGATAGGTCTCTGTGAGTTCTCCTGCCTCCTTTTTCCCCTCTGTCATTTGTGTCCCTGTGTCATTTGTGATGAAGGCAGAACATTAGCCTTACCACATTAGAAATTCTGTGTTGCCCCAGTAGTGTCCCTGCCACTTGCTGTGTCTCCTGTATGTGTTGTAACTGGGAGAAGGTCCTGAGGTTTGAACAGGTCAGGTGAATTTTCAGCAAACATGCTTCAGAGTCTGTGATCTGTCATTTGTGATCTGTGATGTTAGGAGGTACACACCGTCCAGCTGTCTGTCTTGTGATGTTAGCAGCTTTTGGTGGCCATTACTGAGATTCATTAATTCATCACCAGACAAATGCTAATACCCACCCAGCACTGAGAGCCCTGGCTCACACAGGCCAAATGGACCATTCCAGGCCTGTTCTTGCTCTGCAACTGGCCCTTGTGCAGTGGCAGGAGAAGGTGGCGATAATGGCCCCTGGTTCAAGGTCCACACTGCTTATGGGTCCCTGCTCCCTCTTATTCAAGACATTGTTTTCCCTTCTTCCTTAGTCACTCGGTTAACTACATGCAATTACTCAAGCAGAAGCACCTTGCATTATCTTGGAGGTTTCTGATTGTGACCTTCCCTTAACTAGTGTAGGTAGGCAGTGGACTCAGCCCTTGTTTATCTGGAGGCACTAGGTAATTTTGAAAGTACAGTTTTTGGTTTTGGAATGTATCATGACATCAGCTTGTTTTTACAGTGTGTCTCTGTTTCTTTAGCAAATAGTGCTGAAGACCCCCTGGTTTTGGAGGGGAAGGTGGTATAGTGGATCCGGAGGCTCTCTGTCTCCTCTCTTCTCTCCATTTGCTTTTTTTGTCTTGGGTGCTCTGAATAATATTTCACCTGTAAAAAAGGTTCTGCTTCAAAATAAAGTTAGCAAATAACAGGAGATAATTAATACCAGAAAGGTGTCCAGAGGTTTTCTAGGGGCACCCTGAAGTGGGCTGCAGAATTTGACATATCCTATAAAGAGCCATTCTAGTCGTTGGGTAGTTGTTAGATTCGATAGGTAGCCTTTCTGTAAGGAAAATAACCTATTTGATCTTAGAAATTTGCATGGTATGTACCCAGTAACTACTCCAGGTCAGTGAGACTGTAGCGCTGTAGTGAGGTGGGCTGGGTCAGGGAGGAGAACCCAGAGCTGGGAGGCTTTGGGCTCAGGCAGGCAGGACTGGCAGGGACAGCATCAGATTTCTCCTGTGGCTCAGCTGGTGGCCTCAGGAGGGGGTGGGCAGGAGAAAGATGGGGCTTTGCTATAGAGGTGTAGGGGTGCTGGCCAGAGCCCCTCAGGAGCCAGGCACTGGGCTACAGATGAGAACCTTGGCTTGGGGACCAGCGCTAAGCCCCATCATCAGCTCTTGGACCTACTATGAAGCCTGACAAGCAGCAAGGATGATGTGGCACTGTGTCCTGGTGGCAGTTAATTTCCTCTGTACCCACACTTCTGCCTTGTGTCTGAGATAGGTTAGCAGAGAGAGAAGTATGCCAGACCCAGAGGGACAGTGCCAGGGCTCTGACTCAGTGGTCAAACTGGCCCCCATAGAGGGGCCAGCAGTCCCTACCATGGCATTAACACAGAGCCTGGCTGGGCTGGGGACAGTATTTAAGAGTTAATGTAGGCTCTAGTCAGGCCTGGGGCCTCAGAGCAGTAGCCCGCTCCCAGGGGGCGGGGCATCAGACTAGGTGATCATCACGACCAACCGAATGCACTGGATTCACATGAGATGCAGGACCAGAGTGTGAGTACACTGGGAACTGAGGCAGAGGCTCAGTCATAGGCAAGGTCACTGCCTGTGGGATTACAAAGGGTCACCAGAGTTCTGGAGCTGAGATTCTGGGAGCTCTCTGGTCACAGGAGCCTGGGGGGTGGATGATAGTCCTATCATAGACTTGTTTCCTTCTGGCTTTTAGTTGCCCATGCCTGGTTCCCTGTCAGGAAATGCATAGAGAGGAGGGGACAGAGGACCCAGAGCATGCGGGATAGGCAGGAAGCAGCAGGAGGGTGAGAGCCCCTGTGTGTTTGTGTGTGTCTGTCTATCTGTCTGTCTCTCCTTCCTCTGCCTGGCAAACCTCTTTTTATCGGCTATATGTTGTGTGTACAGTAGCCACACAGTGGGAAGGATAGACCTCAGTCTTACCCACCATCATATGCTAACCAGCTCAGGCAAAAAGATAAACGTGACAGCAATACAGGCGAGATAAAGACATGGCAGCACGAGTTCACAGAAGGGAGGACCACCAGACAGGGAGTCATGATAGGAATTTTGTCATGCCAGTTTATAGGCAGGGAAACAGGTTCTAGTTCAGGGGGTTAAATAACATGTGAAGTCCAGTCCAGATCCAAGGCTTTCTAACTCTAGAATTTCCCCTCTCAGCCAGTATTCTAGGAAGTAAAGACTCTTCCCCTGGGCCCTGGAGACTCAGAAGGCACTGGGTGTAATGAGGAGGAAGAGGTGGCATGCCAGGGGAGTGGGTGACATCTTGGACAAACAGTCTGCAGGCTCAAGTTTCAGGGAGAGCAGGTGGCTGGTGAGGTTCCAGATTGCAGCTGATTTCCTTCCTTTGTTTTCCCTTCTCCATGCCTTTGGAACAGGCATTGCTTATTTTCTCTTCCACTAGGACCAAGTAGGGAAATTAGAAATTGTTAACAGCATGTTAGCAACTTGGATGAAACACTTGGCAGAAAAGGAAAGCTGAGGTGTGAAGATGGCCTATGCATCTTGGTTTTCCTCTGGCCCCATGCAGTGAGGGTGATGAGCAGCTGGCTGACTTGGTGACAGACTTGCCACACCAGGCAGCCTGTGTTCAAATGCCAAAGGATGTTGCAGGAAAGAGCTGCTTTGCTCTGGGGTGTCTACCCTGGAAGTGCAGCCAGAGTCTACTTGGTTGTACATGGGCCTTAACCTTTCCTTTTGTCCCCTTGGCAGCTCACAGACCTCTGAAGAGAGTGCCATTGAGACAGGTTCCAGCAGTTCCACCTTCATCAAGAGAGAGGATGAGACCATCGAGGACATCGACATGATGGATGACATTGGCATAGACTCCTCAGACCTGGTAGAGGACAGCTTCCTGTAACTGCAGATTCCAGGTGTAGCCTCCCTTCCTGGGGCTACCTTTGAATCCCTTTAAGAAAACCACTTTACTACAATGCAAAGGTTGAGAGGACTTGGATGAAGAGAATTTCCTAGCCCAGGGTGTTGGGGAGCTTTCTAAATCTGAATGAATGGGATACTTTGAAATGAACTCTTCAGCATTGCCTCTTGCAGTGCATCACTAGCATCTCAGTGGTGTGTGAAGGTTGGAAATAGATGGACGGGAATAAGAGGCCACCGAAGACTGTGCGTTTCAAGGGCATTGGAGAGATTCCCACATACACAATTTGTACTGCTACAAAGCTGTAGCATTGTAATTATGTAAATAACGCTAACCGAGGATGTGTGTAGGTTTGTATTAACTATCTTCTTTGGACTTCTGAAGAGATCACTCAACCCATCCATATACTTTCTCCCAAAACCTGGTATCAGCTGCTGTTGAATTTTCTTATGAAGCGCATGCAAAACCACTTTTGAACCTTAAAAGGTACTGGTACTATCACATTTTACTTCCTTTTTTTTTTTAGTGTTAAAGAGATAAAAGGTAATAATTAACCAATCTTCTGTAATAGATTTGGTCCTTTAGAAGCAGAGCAACTCATTTTCATATTGTAACCTACGTTTATAATGCTACTACTGTTATGAGTAATGCTAAATGTGTAATATGTAACAAGATTTCCCTATAGAGAAAGCACAATTAAAAAAACTTACTAAGTAGGTGACAAGTTTGACAGTTTTGACATTTATATTAAATAACATTTCTCTATAAAATATAATAGTTTTAGTGGATTCAATTTAGTAAGCAGAGAGAGCAAAGTATCAGTAGTGTTGTCCAGGAAGTCAGTTTTTAATTGTGTACTAAATAGGTTCCCTAGTCTACTGTATTCAAAACAGTTAATGATCTCTGAGTAATGGGATTAGAGATAATCAACCCCCAGAATCTTAAATGTTCTCAATGTAAAGCATAAGTCTGTGCTCAGTGTGACTTTCATGCTGTGACCTTGTGGAAATCACAATAGTCAGCAAAGAAGAAGGGATTTGTAGAGGTTTCTTTCATGACCTGTGATAACTTTGGTGATCCCAACACACACACACACACACACACACACACACACACACACACACACACACACGTTAAATCTATGAGCCTTAGAGTCAGAAGGATGCTCTCACTTCATCTCTTTTCTTTCATCTTTTACCCCAAAGAGAAAGAGTTGAAAACCCTGAGACCATAAAAGTACTGTTCAATGAAGGCCGTGTGAGCATTGACCTGACATTTCAGTTTTCACACTTAACTGGCAAACAGAATCACTAGAATCTGGGTCCTCATTCCAGAAATTCTGAATGATTAAGTCTGAAAGAAGTAGGAACCTTTATTTTTGTAAGCTTCCTGGATATTCTGATCAGCCAGTTTTCAGAAACAGTGGCTTAGATTATAGAAGGTTGCCATGAGAAAAAAACAATTTGAAGTTTGTAACTGGACTAGAAGTCAGCCATCAAGGAAGCCTACTATTTAAGACCTTGGCTTCAGATCAGTGACATTTAATGGCATACATGTAGCAATTGCTACCCTTAATTTAACTTTCCAGTCTCAGTTGAGGCTGAGAAAGCAAAATCTTGGTTTTGGCATGTCTTCCAAAAGTATAAGAGAAAGGAAGACACTGAACTTGTACTCTCCTGAGGAAAAGCATGGATAAACATGACACAACTCTGTGGACCAAGTCTTTGTAGAGCCAGGTCAATACTTTGGTGAAAAAGATGAAAAAGGATTCCTGATATTTTGGGGTTAGGGGTTGAGGATGGATTGTCACATCCGTCCAAATTGTGGAGCTGGTGAGTGTGGCTTCATTGGCATTCCTCACAGTCTGCTTAATTGCTGACATCCTATGAATGAAACATGGGCTGTGATTGCTGCAATCACTCTATGTGCTTCCGGCAGGTGATGCTGGGAAGATGCAGAAGCAATAACAAGGTACTTGACTACCTACTGATATAATCTCAATGCAGACTCCAACTTTCCTAGCCTCCTTTTTCATAGTAAGTGTGAAGACTGAGCCAGATTGGCCAATTAAATATGAAAACCTGACTAGGTTCCTTAGAGCCAATTAGACTTGAAATACATTTGTGTTTCTAGAATCGCAGCTCAAGCGTTCTGTTTATCACTCACTCTCCCTGAACAGCCTCACATTGTGGGTGCTTTGCATTCTGATTTGCTTTGAGTCTTGCGTGGTGTTGTCAAGCTGGGCTCAGACCCCAGTTTCTAGTCCTCCCAATACTCTCATCTAAGATGATTCTGAGTTGCTTTTTTTTTTTTTTTTATTTTTAAACAGTGTTTTGAGTGTATCCCAGATTCATTTCCTTTTTGGCCTCTTGCAAAGTCCCCAGAAGAAAATTTGCTTATCCTTCCTGCTTTCTGTTTTTATGATGACAATCAAAGCTAGCCTGAGAAACACAAATTTGTGACTTTTTAAATGATCAATCATGTCCTTAAAATGTGGTCTGCCAACTTGTACAAAATGGTCCTATTTTTTTGTGAAGAGGGACGGAAGATAAATGATGTTATACATCAATATGTACATATGTATTTCTTTATAGTCTTGAGAATACTGCCAAAACATTTATAACGAGCTGTATCACTGCCTTTGTTTATATTTTTTTAACTGTGATATTCCCCACAGGCACATTAACTGTTGCACTTTTGAATGTCCAAAATTTATATTTTAGAAATAATAAAGAGAAAAATACTTACATGTTCCCAAAATGGTGGTGTGGTGAATGTGTGAGAGGAACTAACTTGGTAGGGAGGGTCTACCGATACAAAATGTATTACAAATGCCCCGTTCATGGTTTTGTTTAAAAACCTGTAAATGAAGAACTTTATATTTCAATAAATGAGATATATAATTTAAAGTTATGCTGAGGTTGCAACATTTTTTTTGTTTGTAGTTTAATAATAAGAATTAAAGCAATTCTGTTTTTGAGACAGCATCTTGCTATACATTCCAGACTGACCTTGCTTTGGGTTCCTCCTGCCTTAGCCTCCTGCTTCCCAGTGCTGGGGCTACAGAAATGTACCACCATGCCTGGCTCCATTATGTTTTGATGGACCAATAGAAAGTTTAAGATTTAGGGTACTATTTGAGCAGCCAGGACAGTGGCCTGCATCTGTAGTCCCAGCTACTTGGGAAGCTGAGACAGCAGAATCACGTGAACCTCGATGTTTAAGACCAGTCTGAACAGCATAGTGAGACCCTGTCAAAAAAAAAAAAAAAAAAAAAGGGAATTGTTTGAGTTAGAGTTAGTTCTCAGACACAGCATTTGATGTGAAGATGATTGGCATTTGGCTCATCTGATCCTGTCGTTGGGTGGTGTTTTCCTCCCCTACATGAGGAATGCAGGACGACATTTACTCTGCAGATATGTAGAAGTGTAGGAAGGATTAAGGTTAAAGCCTGTTCTTCCTCATCCCTGACCAAGAGGTAACTACCTCACTTGGTATGGATTCCTTGTCTCCTATGCATCTGTGTATTTTGTTCCATAGTTTGCCTACATGGAATCAGACTTTATGTAGTGCTTTGTAATGTGTCATTTCTTGCTGTGCAAGATAAGCTAGTCCTGAAATTTCAATTCTCCTGTTTTAGCCTCCCAAATGCTGGGATTACAGGTGTGTACCACCACAACTGACCTCCTCCTCCTCCTTTCCTTTTCCTCTTCCTCTTCCTCCTCCTTCTTCAACTGTTTATTAAAGCAGTTTTAGGTTCTTGGGAAAATTGAGTGGAAGATGCACGTACAGCCCCTCCCCTCTACAGCAGTCCCTATCAGAATGTACATTTTTTTTTACAATGGATGCATCTGTATTGACACATCATCATGCACAATCTATAGAGCTTTTTTCTTTTAGAGACCTTTACGAGAACTATACACACATCTTCCTCATTTTTTAAAGTCAGTGTCATGGTGTCTCACTATGTAAATACACTACAGCTAGTGCAGTCATTCTCCTGTAAAATAGATTTATAGTTTCTGATTCTTTGCTATTAAAATGACTCCATGAACATCCTTGCACATGCATCCTTGTGCATGTGCAGTAGTGTTTTGTTTGAATAGATTCCTACAAATAAAATTTGTAGGCCAAAAGCTGTGCAGAAATAAACTGATGTTGGGTTCCAGTTTTCATGTACATTGCCACAGAAAATTCCCGAGCCTCTGCACATGTATCATTAGCTTTGCAGATTATCTGCAGTTTTCTGGTCTCTACCTTGCCTTGCCCAGGGATCCCAGGCTTCAAAACAGAATGGGAAGAGATGTGTTGGGATTGGGGTGGTTTTGTGTTCTGAGTCATGCTGAAGCAAATGACTAGGAATTTTAAAAGAATGATACAACTTACCTTACTTTCGACTCATAGAGAGTGGAAATTGTGTTGTTAGCAATTGGAATATACTCCCTATTTCACCATCCCTCCTTATTACCCAAATTGGAATGGCTTGCCTATTGCAGCCTGTCTTCCTTGGGGCCTGGCTGTTGGTTGGGGATTGGTTCTACCTCGGTTCCTGCACTAGGAAGGAGGCAGATACCTGGGAAGAATAATGCTGCTAATATAACATCAACCCAGGGTGTCCTCTGCTTGCCTGGAGAGGTCATTTTCTCCCTCTTTTATTGGTGATACTTGAGTTTGAACTTAGAGCCAAAGCTTGCTAGGTAAGTGCTCTGCCATTTGAGCCATGCTGACAGCCCATTTTTGCTTTAGTTAATTTTTCAGGTAAGCTCTTGAGTTTTGCCTGGGGCTGGCCTCCAACTGTGATCCTCCTACGTATGCCTCTTGTGTAGCTGACAGGCATGTCATCCCAGTTACACAAGCTGGGAGCTAGTGCTCCCAGCTTATTAAGGTCCAGGCTGGCCTCTAGCTGTGATCCTCCAAATCTCCATCTCTTGAGTAGGTGGGATTATAGGTGTAAGCCACCATGCCCAACCCTTGTCCTCCTTTTTAAATATTTAATTCTACCTGTTAATACGAAACAGACAACTAAACCTGCCTTATAGAGTCATGATAAAATAAAGGAGACTTTTATTATTGGAGTATTTTAAAGCTTTTTCAATGGTCTTTTACACTTGCTTCTTTTGTTTCTTAAGTAGTTCCAAATAATTGCACTGCCATTTATACTACAAAACCATAGAAAAAGAAAGCGATACAGAGAAACATCAGTGTTTGGAAGAAGTTTGATTGACTTCTTTCATATTCCCAAAGCCAAGTGATGGACAAGCCTGCCCAAAGAACTTTCTACACATTTGTAATCAGAACAATTTCTTTTCAGCTTATAACACAGCAGTTCTAGTAATGGGTATTATGGCTTTAATAGTGATGAGATACATGAAATGTAGCTCAGGAAAATGACCTAGGCTATTTGAATCTATCATAAATAGATCATTTTCCCTGGGATAACAGTGATGGAGATGCTTTATTATTTCTGGCTCCAAATGCATGTAAGGCTTGAACCACCTGCACTGTTATAGCAACATTAACACACTGTGTTTATCACAGAGATAATTTTTTCACCCTCACAATGAAAATCCATGTGATATATGTGGCCTTAATTAGCAGATCATAATATTCCATTCCACGAGTTACAGAGGTAGCACCATGTCCTAAAGAAGAATGAATGTAATCAAAATAGATTCATACATGGGTTATAGTTCCATTGCTCCATCTTAGTTTACATATAAAGTGATGGAGACTTTGAGGACTCATGATCTCACATGGCAGGGGAACGTATTTGCTCCCCGTCTCTACTTTATAGGATAATTGGAATTTTAAAAAGATTTGCCACATTACCCTGGCAGATGGTATTTCGCTTTATCATTATTCATGGGTATTAATGACTTCCCTCTGGAGCATGTGTATCCTGTCTATTTTGAATTTCATTGCATTTCATGCTGACTGCTCCAAACAGAATCAGATACAGTGTTTTCTGTGTGGTGCTTGAATTGTCGATCTTTTGGTTGGTCCAAGTTTTAGACTCGATTATGACGAAGTAGTTCTTTGAAATGAGGAGAAGCATTTTCGTCTTTGTCCTGTGTATTCCAACATACTTCTCATTTTGCTCAGCTTGCTCTCCCACGGGGCTGTGGGGAGGATCAGGTGTATACAAAGACATTTCCAGAGTGGGTGCATCTTTCACTAGCCTGGGATGATTGGACATCCTTTCTTTCTCCCTGGAAAGGCTGGGGTTTGCTTTCCAAACAGAGAAAATTCATGAGAACATGAAGTAATGATCTGGTCGCAGAAAGTCATTTTTTAATTAATTCCTTTTACAAATATTTATTATAGAACAGACTCCTCTTTGTTCGGTTGATCTCTAGAATACTTAAGCCTGAACGAGGCAGCTGGCAGACTTCATTCAACCAGCTCAGGACCTCGGGGGACCATGATGTCATAGAGAAGAGTAGCATAGAGCAGAAAACTGTGGTAAGTGGAGGCAAGAAGCTGAGGAGTAGGGTGGATTGTGCAGCTCACTGAAGCCTTCTGGCAGAAGACACAAGAGGGTAGAGCGTTGGATGCAGGTGCTAAGGCTGGGCAGCCTTGCTTCCTGCACTCCCAAGTCCTGACTGTGATTCCAGATGCTTCTTTCGCCTCCTTCACATCTATTCTGCCAAACTTTTATTCCCCTGTTCCTCAACTTTATTGAGCTAGGCACTGTCTCAGGCCCTCGGATTCAGTCATTATTGCAATAGACAAGACAGCTACATCATGGGAACAGTGACTGTTCACAGCAGAGAGCAGATCTGTTTGAGGTACAGCATATAAAGAATGACATCTTCCTCTGGGACGTTGTCTTGCAGCTGAGCATGAAAGTTGGGGGTTCCTTAATACAATATTCCCTTAGAATTCATAAGGATTAGTTCCAGGTCTCCATACAAATACTCAAAGCTATGGATACTCAGGTTCCTTACATAAATGGCATCCTCCTGTGTATTTTTAATCATCTCCAGATTACTTTAATACCTATTACAATGTAAACACTACAGAAATATACTCTTTTACTAGGGAATAATGACAAAATTGTCAGTACACGTTCAGTACAGACACAACCATTGTAGGTCTAACTACATAAGACATTAACAAGAGGTAAGGGGTCTGGGTTTGGTGTGCACACTGTAATCCCAGCACTTGGAAGGTAGAGAAAGGAGGATCTTGAGTTTGAGGTAAGCCTGGGCTACACTGAGGGACGCTCCTCTGCCCCCCAGCCCAGTCTCAAAGGAAATTAACAAGATGGAAAGTAAGCAAGGCTCACAGAAGTACTGGAGAGACTGGGAGAGGATGTGTGACATGTAGTGAGGCAACCACAAGGTGTGTCTACACCACTTCATCCGCCTGGATTCAGTGGAATTTACTGGACTCAGTAAATTCAAATTTTGCTTTTTGGAACTTTCTGGAATTTTTTTGGAAACATTTTCACAGAAGCCAACATCCATTCCAGATAAAAATTCTCACCAAACTAATAATAGAAGGAATCTTCCTCAATCTGTTAAAGGCTATTTGTGAAAAGCCTATAGGTACCATGACACTTAATGACAAGAGACTGAATACTTTCCCTTTAATATTAGGAACTGAGCAATGACTTTCCACCAGAGTTCTCAGCCAGTGCAACAAAGAACTCAAAAGAAATTAAACCACATCGGAAAGGAAGAAGTAAAATTGTCTTTACTTACTCAGAGAGTTATTGCCAATATAAAATGAAGCTCTAAGGAATGCTCAAAGTGACAGAATATAAAATCTGGTTGGTTAGGTCTGTGCATGTGGAACCCACATACAATCCAGAGGGCTGATTATATGTTGAAGTTTCTACTACATTTACATATATTTTGTTTATTTATAAATCTCTCTATTTTTTGGCAGTACTGGGGTTTGAACTCAGGACCTTTGGCTTGCTAAGCCAGTGCTCTACTACTTGAGCAACACTGCCAGCCCAGTATTTCACATGTTGGTGTTATTTTAAATGATATTTTTTCAGTTTCTATATGTTGTTAGCTTATAGAACAGTAATTGACCTTATATTTTTCACAGATATCCTGTGAAATAGGAAGAAGCTTCCTTCTATCCTTAGTTTGGTGATAATTTCACCTTTGGAATGGATGTTGGGTTCTGTAAAAAGGGTTTTTTTTTCTTGCATATATTGAGATTACAATTTTGTTTTCCTTTTTAATTTGTTAATATGGTGAATTATATTAACC